AAAGTTATTCTTTTAAAATTGAATCTTGGACATTAACAGAAGATGAACTAACATTTATTTTAAAACAACAACAACGAGGCAGACCTATGCAAAATAACATGCCAATTAGAGAACGATGTATACAAATTAATGTTTACCTTCACCATTTGGCACAGAACCCTTTCTTACATATCTATATATATTACACAAGAGGTATGTGGCATGTGAAAGTGAGTGGATTTACATCAGACGTACATTCCGCAGTATCTAAAATTAGAAGCTATTTAAATGATGTAGTTGATACTGAAGTACAAATTCCTATATCAGGAGTTATGGCATTTTTTCTTAGAAGAAAAGCGTCTGCTGATATTAATAGACTAGGAAATCTTCACAATATCAAGATCATCACCTTTTCTCCTCCTCGTCGCGCTAATACTACTAATGAACATGATAATGATAATCATTGTTTAAAACTGATTGGTTCTGTGTCACGTATTGATTTGGGACATACAGCAATTCAAAATTTTCTTGAAAATTTATCGGAAAAAGAACAAGACTTTCCATGTGCTACATGGGATATTTCAAAGAATATTTCTGCAAATATTATAACATGTCTGAAAAAAATTCACGACTCAGATGATTATGAAGCAGTCGGAATGGTTAAGTTCTATAATTCAGCCATCGAAAGAAGACAAACAACACCGAAAGTTACTATTACAGTAGTTGCTTTCAATAAAGAAACGGCAGATGACGTGATTCAACAATGTAAACATTTCGTTGAAGGATATGATGTATGGAAACCATCTTTGGAGGAATATCGAGCCCTATATAATATATTGTTGGTGGAAAAACGGCCAAATATTTCTCGCTTTCAACAAGAATGGGGCATTAACGTACAGCTTGAAAATGAAACTAATACTATTATTATCCCTGCACGATCAAGGATAGTTGCAGATGAAATAAAAGAAGCTTTGCAGAATTTAGCTGCAGGAAAAGCAAATCGAATCGCTAGTATTACAATAACTATTCCTATTCAGTTCAATATTCGTCGTTTTGTTTATCAAGCTATTCAACCTCTACTTGAAGAAGTAAAAACAAAAAGAGTTTATATTGACTCAAAAGATCGGAATGGACTAACTCTTCATGGCCGTTCTGAAGTCATCAATTCGGTTCAAGAAAAAATCAAAATCATCATTAATGATATTAATCAAAAAATTGTTACAAGTCATTTAACATTAACATCTATCGAATCAGAATTAATTCGAGCTAATTCATATCAAGTTCTTACACGTATTGAACGTGAAACCAATACCATCATTCGTGATGTTAGAATAGATGCGAAAGTTTCAAAATTAGATAAAAATGATGATACCAGCTCGACTATAACATGTGTGAAAAATAGTCGTGATCAAACAATTCTTGTCAAGAAAGGTGATATTATAAAGGCGAAAGATGTTGATGCTATTGTAAATGCTGCAAATGGGCCATTGAATCATGCAGGATGTTTAGATAAAGCCATTTCAGATGCTGCTGGTCCTGCACTTGATCAAGAATGTAAACAATTAATTGCGACAAATGGAGGTGTAGCAATATCTACTGGTAAAGCAGTTAAAACAACAGCTGGTCGTCTTCCTTATAAAAGTGTTATTCACGCAATTGGTCCTCAATATTTTGGTGGGAATCAACAAGAGCGTCCATTATTATTTTTTAGTGTCTTGTCCAGTTTGCGAATTGCTGAACAAGAAGGTTATAATAGTATAGCATTACCAGCCATCAGTGCTTCGACTTACGGTTTTCCGTTACAAGATTGTACAAATATTGTGATTCGTGCAGTAAAACAATTCTTTGCTGATTTTCCAAAATCACATTTAAGAAAAGTAATTTTATTAGATAATGATGATGCAGCTTGTAATTCATTTGCACGTGAAGTTGGAAAGGATCATACAAATACAGCTGCAGGCAATGATGAGGATATTACCAAATATGATTTACCTCCGCTAACGGCTAAATGGTGTTGGCAAGACGATGATGGGGAAAAAATTAGTGATGACAGTCAGACACGTCAAATCGAAGCTGCATTTCAACACTGTTTACAAACTTCCATTCCATCAACATTAAAAATTAATCCTGATAACTTAACAAGTGCTACTATTGTTTGTTATAGTATTCATTTTCATCCTAATTTGAGACAATTATGGATTGCCGATCCAAATGTATTAAATGGTCGTTTTGTTTGTGGATATCAAATGAGAGAAAGTACTGCCTATAAACGATATATTATTCGCTATCCATTGGTATCGCCAGTACATAATACATCTGATGGATATCGACCGAAACCATTGGATACATATCATTTAAAGATGCAGTCTAAAGAAGAGGATTGGAATATTATAAGTATCAACAATACAGCAGTAAAGCAAGCAGAGATAGCAATTAGAAAAGCCATCGTGTCTGCTACAATTTCCGAACCATTCTCCGTAAATCTAAAAGAAGATATTGATGCTCATAAGACAGCAATTACTACTATTGCAATTCAACAATTTATTCATATTGATTTTCAACAAGATTCCACCGGAAATTTATCATTGATATTGAAAGGTTTTCAACAAAATATCTTACAAGCAAAATTACAAATTTCATTATATGTACAAGATATTTTGAGGATGGAGGCTGATAAAGATGACGAATTAGATATACCTAGACAATGGGGCGATCAAGAAGAACAATTTAAATTAGTCGAATTACTTAAAAATGATACTGATTTTATTCGTATTGAAAAACGCATGCGAGAGACTGTAAGTAATGTGAAAATTGATAAGATCGAACGCGTACAAAATTTAAGATTATGGAATCATTATGCCCTTCGTCGTCGAATTCTTCAACAAGAATTAAGTAATAAGCCTAATTTACAAATTGAAATGGAATTATTTCACGGCACTCGAGCAGCACCGCCTAAGGAAATCTATAATGGTGAATATGGTTTTGATATGACATTTTGTACAAGTGGTTTGTGGGGACTCGGGACGTATTTTGCTATGAATGCTTCATATTCTTGTCAAAGCTATTCTTATCAATTACCGAATGGCAAACGTCAAGTGTTTCTAGCTCAAGTGCTAACAGGAGAAGTTTTTGATTATAAAGGCAAAAATGATCAAACCTTACGTCGACCTCCGAAGAAGAACGAAAGCATATCAGAAACACGTTATAACAGTGTAGCCGGGGAAACAGGAGGCAGTAAAGTTTACATTGTATACGAAAACCGTGTTGCTTATCCTACGTTTCTGATTACCTATAGTCAATGATGATTCTATTACTTTTATTTCATATTTGATTAATTTAATTTTTATCCGTATACTACATAAAGCCTAATGATTGAAACAAATAAATTATAAAAATTTGGTATTTTGTTTTCACTCATAGGAAGGAATTTATTTCCGTTCTGCATCGAAATAATAACTATACGAAGTTCTTATATATCAATCTATCGAATGGCATAAATATGTAAAGGTTATCTACTTCTTGCGTAAGTCAATCGAAGATTTCCCAGTAGGAATGTGAGAAAAAAGAAAAAGTGAAAGAACTGCACATCAAGTTTTTTAAAGTAGGGATACGCCATTCCTTTTAGTTCCGAAAGCTTTTTTTGCTGAAGAAACCGATTTTTACTACAAAAAACAAAGAAACCTTTCTTATCATTATTAACATATTTGTGTTTGCAAATACAACAATATATATACCTTTAATAGACGATGAAAAATTATTCAAAGTTATTGTCGTCTTACTATCAGACCTCTCACCATCACCACACCCCCAAGATAACAACGGAAGACTGATATTGGTCTATGTTTTTGCCAGTGTCTTCAAAGGCGTGTTGACCACTATGAATAAATAGTTCTTTTTTCACAAAAAGATTAAAAATTTAGGCATCTTCGGTGGTGATCGCTACCACAAAATCTAGGTCACACTCACTGTTATGTCAAACAACAGAAAAAAGAACGGATAAACGAACAAAATTCAACGATATTTTATTTCTCGCGTACTCACACAGACAAGAAACAAAAAAAGTGGATGTTTCGATGGGTAGGGTGTACGTGAGGGGTGAGGGGCAAGGAGTTAAGTGATGACACCTAGCACCCTGGCACTTCAACACCTACTCAATACTTCAGCACCGACCCAGTAATTTTCGGTGCCACGTGCCAGCACTTACCCCCTTGGAAAAACTATCCGAGCAGTATATACAAGAAAGAACACGTTTCAAACAAGTGTAGTGAAAATGTTTAAGATCTTCGTGTTGTTTATCCGTGAACAATGGAAACAAGGGAAAGAGTCACGTGAATAAGGGTAGAAAATATGAGAGACACAGAGCTTTTCTTCAAAAGGGCGAAGTAGAACCTGAGATACGAATTAAATTTATCATTCGAATTTGCTGTCTGCCTTTTAACATACTTTTATTGATAAGTGAACGAAATCCTAGTTTTGGAGATATCAAATAATCGATATTTTTAAACTCATTAGTTCATCCTATTTTGTTATCACCCGCATAAATTTCAAATTTCGGAGAGTCGATTGTTCTCGTCGACCATAGGCCTGCACTCTCTGCGTATTTGATGGGTTGTGTAGTTAGTGTGGAGTAGAACTCTAAGTTATCAAAGAACAGATGTAACTTTTTTCTAGGTTTAAGCATTGAGGTGAGTATTTCATTCCAATGCTTCTGGCGGCAGTCGCTGCCAGATTATCGGCAATAAAGTGACTTGAGCAGAAACCGAGAGAATCATTCATAACGGCGTGATATGTGATGAGTAACGTGAATGCGAAGATGGACCCTCGAGGATCACCTTTCAAAATATTGAGCCAACGAGATTTTTCGTCATTTATTTCGATATACGATCTACGTCCACGTAGCCAGGTATCTATCCAGCGTAGATAAGCTCTTAGTAGATCCATCCGCTGTAGCTTTCCTAAACAACATTCAAACCAAAGCTGCTCGAATGTGGCTTTCAAATCAACAAATATAGTTGCCACCGGCGAGCTTTTGGCCATTAGACTTGACACTTGTTCGAAGAAAAGCAGTACCCGAGTTTGTAGTCTGAAAAACAGGATGGAAAAAGTTTCTCGTTAATCTTAAGAAAAACAACGAGAAGAGAAATTGGTTTTGTAAGCGATGGGATATAGATGGATTCTTTTTTTTACACGATTGTACAATATTGAGTATTTCTTCGGCCGGTGCAAGTGGGATTTCTTCATTGAAATTTTCCCACTCTACTGCAAGTGCATCTATGTATGGATGTGGACAATAAATATTTTCAGGTTCTTTGAAGAAATCTTCGTAGTAGTCGGCAGCCACTTTACAAATTTTTTCTTGAGTTTTGATGATGTCACCGTTGATGAGGATAAAACCGTGCACATAGGAAGATGACGATTTCATGAACTTTTTTATTCTAGGCCAGAAAGAAACGGATATAGGTGATGTTGTGTTGCGTGTTGCTATGGAAGCAGCTAGTTGATGAGATAGGAATCGTCGAAGTTCTTTTTTAGTGAAATTTATTCTAGATTTAAAAGTGTCTGTGAATTCAGCTTCGCCTCTACGTTTCTGTCTGAATGAAAGAGCTCGTGTGTGTGACATATATACTCTCAGTTCATGAGGTACTACTATACTATGTTTGTTTAAATGAAAAATAATTGTGCAACGAGAAGTGAGAAACCAGAAGAAAGAACATAATCAATTATTCTACCTGGCCTCATACATGTAGGTTGATGAGGAGTATAAGGTGTGAGAAAATGCGAGTCCGCCCAAGACATTAAACAATCAGCTTTGATATTATTTTTTTCAAGATCAATATTGAAGTCGCCGAATAGAGCACACAGAGGTAACAAACGGTGTTAGAGCATCCCAGTACCATGATTTACTCTCGGGTGCATAGACTCCGACTATTCTAAGAGATCTATTTTCGAGAATGTCAACAATGCAAATATTTGGTAGATCACAATGAATTCTGGTTGTTTTCAAATCGTTTCCGTTTGAGTTTTCACCTTTTTCAAAAACAAAATATCATAGTTAGAGAATAGTAGAACTTCTTGATAACGCAAGTTGAAATCTCGGACATTGAAAGAAAGAATATGAAAGGAATTTACTACAGAAGATGTATCAATGGTATTATATGAGTTCCAGATTTTTAAACAGTCACTAAGGAGTGGGAAACTTTCCAACTCCGAGATAATATCGCATAGAAGGAGAAAAATCAAAATGATATATATCACATTCAAGTAAAATGTTTTGATTAATATAAGAAAAAAAAGGTACAGTGTTAGCAGAAAGATTCATTAAAAGTCTTTACTTGTACGAGCATTGTTAAATTGAACCTTCCAACGATTAATTTTAACTTTGAAGTTGGGATCTAATATTTACCACATTTGCCTGTATTAATATTGGTTAAGAAAAATCACATCTCGTCAAGTGATCGAAATACTAATTTCATAAAAACATTTTCGTAACATGTTCATGCTGTGTTATAATTCTAGATTGCTTGTTATTATTTTCGAATAAATCGTCAATTTTGTTGACAATCTTCTCAAGAAGAATATTGACTTGATTCATACTATCTACTGAATCATCAATCTTATTCATCATTGAACTTGTAGAGTCAGCATTTGAACCCCATTGATGATTATTGAAGAGATATTTAGTTAGATCAACTCAAAATTGTTTCACTTTCGAGCATCTCAAATCATTCGACATATGTTCACATTTGTAATGAATACAATGAAATTTATTGGATACTGAAGTATGATCTTTAATGTCATTGCAAATCGTTCCACATTTTCGGCAAGCATTATCTTTTTTTGGCATTGATTACGGAAATGTCCAATACCCATACACTTACTACAAATAAGAGCACATGCCTGGGCCAAATATTCTTCAACTTCATTTGTGAAATGAGCAAAATCAACTGTAAGACTCACATTTTTCACCAGTAATGAAAGTTGTGGAGGAATGGATGGAGCATACGGTTGAGAAAATGCTAAGCCAAGAAGCGACTGTGGCCAGTTATTCTCATCATAGAGAGCAAAGAAAGAGTAACTGGTCTTAACGAATAATAATAAAGCAAATTCATTCGATAAGCATTCGGATGTTGATTTACGAAAGCCACATAATTCCAAATCGATTTGTTTATTATCTTTGACAAACTTACATAATTCTTCAGCTGCTTTTTGTTCTTGAATTAATCGTGTTGAGAAACGAATGATAAAAGGAGAAAATGGATAACGAGTTTGAGCAAATGATTTACCTTCATGGGTTAATATGTCGGTTGTCAAGGAATCTGTATCTACTTGTAGATTTGCTGTTATTGTTGTTGTTGTAAATGGTTTTTATTCGATGGTGATATTCTTGCAATTTGTTTTTTTTACGTTTGGTATGCACTGTTTTTGTAGTTGAATCTTGGATAAAATCATATAATTCTGAAAGTTCATCTTCAGTTGTCAAATGATGTCTACTTAATGGTGAATTTACTGGTTTAAGATTGTTACGATGAGTATAGGAGGAGGAATCGAGCGACGATTAGGCACAGGACCATTTCGAAGAGTATCATCTTGATAACGTTCGTCGTCGATTAATGCTAAATAAGCTTGCTTGCATAATTCAGACATTGTTCGAATATTTTGAGTTTTTCGAGGGCTATAGCATGGTATATAATCAGAGTTTTTATTGAGTTGGCCATGAATAGACAACATGAAGCCTCTTCTACTCATGATGAGAAAAGAAATTTGAACCTACACTCGTCATTTTCTTCGAAAATTTCTGTTCGTTCTAGAAAAGAAAGTTACACAGCTCCATCATATCAGAGAAGCAATTATTGCACACGAAAATATTTTTGATCGTTATCTTAGTAAGTATAGATATCAATGGAATATTTCACTTCAATCCGTTATGTTATTCTAGACACATACCGTTGACAAAAACGATTCATTCGCATTCATGAAAACAATAAAAAACAGTAATTTTTGTAACAAACATAATTAAACAGCTGCTTATATCACAATTGTATATCGTTTACGTGCAACGACTCACAAGAATTTTCGGGTAACACATCTATTAAATGAAATAGTACGATATGTATATTTATTTTTATGAACAAAGAGCAGACATTCAACAAACATAAGCTTGATATAGAGGTTCATTGTAATTAAATTTATGAATAAAATTCGATTGCCGTCAATTTACTGTGTTTCGTGATCGTGCCAGTGTCTTCCACATCTTAGTCGCATGAAATTCTCGTAGAAAGAGTTGTGACGGTTGAACATAAAGATGAAAGCTTAAACATTGTGGTACGTAAGCAGCAAAATACGATATGATAAGCATATAGCGTTGCCATTTTGTATCAAGATCACTACAGGCCAGTGAAAAAGAAATAATGAGATGAGGTAAAGCACTAATAATGTGTATCATTGATGGAATGAACATATCCTTCTTTTTCTTGAATTGTTCCTGAAATATTTTCCAGCGAGATTTATTTTTATCTACATTTGCACGACTACGAGCAATAAGAATCAAAAGTACGATTGTACAAATGAGATTCACCAGAAAAGGAGTTAAATAATGAATCATTGTATTTGTTTGATTATAGATTTGAAGAGGCCGACTCAGTTGTGTTACACACCATTTTCCTATATCATATATCAAAAATAGTTATTCAGTAGAAAATGATGAATTACCGTTTGCTGTGTATTTGGGATCATCCACAATGACGTACTTTATCAATTCATGTGCATGTGAAGCACATGTAAATATGGTGATGAGTGTGATGATTCTTTTTTCAATTTTAGGTTTTTGTAACCATCGTTTTGTTGGATAGATTGTCACATAAATACGTTCAATAGTCACAAAAACGATTAGCCAATAACAAATCCGATTGCTTGATGACAAAAGAAAAGACAAAATCTTGCACAAAACCGTGTTGACTATTGGTAGAATAAAGAGTCCTCGTATATTGATGATAATATGAAGAATTTTGCTGAGCAGACAAAACAATGATAGTTGAGAGAATATAGTACCAGTGAAAAAATAATGACCAACTCCATTCTGACGTGTTCTTGGTTGTCGAAAGGTAACAAGTGAAAGGAGGTTACTAATGGTACCATAGATCAAGAGCACTGCCGGCACAATTATATACATACTTAAAGATAGTTTTTGTTTGACGAGTGATGATGACAACAAATCAGGACTAATAAGAGAGTCCAAATTGAAACTGAACAACTTTGTATTATGTTGACATTTTGAACCGAAATGGCATCGAGGACATAAACATAAATAATCACTTGGTGTATCTATATCACCTTTAATGCATTGTCCTTGTGCCAAACATTGTTTACATTGATCGAATTTTTTATTGTAAAGAAAACACTGAGCAGTATTGTTTATATCACATAGACAGAAATAATCATCATCAACAAAACATAATAATGGTGAACTTTTAGACGTAGTATTGTCGCATAATGTGTGATACTTGGCGACAACGTTTCGAACTGTCAAATAAAGATAGGAATAATCAGAATGTGTCGATAGAGAGCTTTTTTTTCAGAATATATTTTTCTAATCATATAGTAAAAATCAGTAAAACATACTTTTATATGTTTCATTACGTAAATTGAAGATGTCATGTGAATGTGGACAATAATTCTTTTTCGTAAATCTGAGAGTCAGATTCAATGATGATCCTGCAGTTGAACTAGTATATAATAGATGATACTGAATGGTTGATTGATTGGTATATAAGTTAATTAAACCAAACACTGGATGAATCACACTCTCAGAAGTAATTAATAAACGCGATGGTAAACTATCTTTGTAAAGGACTTGTTTTTTTAAATTCAATTCTTCACGATCACTAATATCGAATAGCTGTATTACCGTTGCACTAATTTGGTCGCCAGATAAAGTAACTGACTGATTTTCATTATCATAGCTAATTTCGATTGCACCTGAACGATGTTGACAAGTCGGACCGAAATAAGACTTTGGGCATTGGCAGATGTAAGCATCAATCAAATTATAATGTTGATATTTGGTGAAGCATATTGCACCATTTTGACATGAATTTTGGCCGATTTTCATCTGACATTGTCGATCCATAAAACAACGTGAACCATATGAATTCATTGAACATATACACAGTGGCTTCTGTCCATAATGATCATATTGCGGGCGACATAAAGACGTAGGAGAACAATAGTTGCTACAATAAATTATTGTTTCATAGAGAGAGGGAGAAATGAAATACAATGGCAATATAATGTTATACTCACAATTTAGTTGAACTGATAAAACAGGATTGATCTTTGAATTCACAATGAGAACCATACGAATTATTTCCACATTCACACCAATATGAATGAATTTCGTTCAACTTATTCATAATCGGATGACACCTGCCTTCATTCAAGCATGGATTGTATCTTGTAAAGCACGTATGATTTAGTGCCAGTTGTGATTGTTGAGTATATTTTAACACTTTAGCAAGACGTTGTGATGGTAAAAAATTAAATGAAACTGGATAGATCCAAACAGCTAGAAATTCAATGCTCTCATTTTCATGCAATTGATATGCTTCAAAGCGAACTGTATAATTATGTGTATTTGATCGTAATTGATGAGGTCGAGGATAGATAAAATAGAATTTCTGTTTTTCTTTATAATTATCAAGTGTTGATGTAAAATGAACTTCATGACGATCGAGAACTGTTGATGTATGATTGATCAGAACAACGAGTAGAGCTAATATTTTGATGACACCTGTTGATGAACCATTGGTCTGATTTTTAAAGCTAATGAACACAGTTAGTCGATCACTCATGAATTCGCACCGATTTCCGTAATAACTTGGTGGACAAAAGCAGTGCACAAATGACTGGCTTACATCAAACGATTTTTTATTCCCAGCAACTCCACGATTACAGATCCAACCTTCCTTAGAAAACTGATTCGCCAATTGTTGTTCAGATGCTCTTGTGGACTGACTTTGGCCTTGAATAGCTAAAGCAATTAATAAAAGCAATTCATTAAACAAAATATATCGTTTCTATAATGGGGACTTACCAATCATTGATGTCTGTGATTTTAACGTTTTGCTCTTGTCATCACTGTCGGGATTCATTTATTAGAAAAGAAAATGGAGAATAAGTTGGTAGTTGTATTTTGATTGAACGAAAATAAGATTTCTTAATGTGCGGTCGATAATTTACTGTTGTAGAGGAACTTCCAGTTGGACAATAGTATTCATCCTCGCCGAATGGGCATTCTACCAAGCCATTACATCGTGAATTTGGCAAACAGCTTCCATTAAGACAGTGGACATCTTGCACAGTCGCGGTTGAAAGTTGACCATTACATTTCACATAGGAATTATTATATAAATAAATACATAACAGACGGTCGTTACCATTAAAGCACCGATCATTATTACTACATTGTTGCATTCTTGGAATACATCTGTCATTGATATTACATTTAAATCCAAAACCTAACTGTTCATGCGATGAACAATTCAATATATTTCGTTCATCTAATCCGCCATAACAATCAACACGACCATCACCCAATTGTCTTAGATTAATACATGGTCGATTTAATCGAAAGTTCATTGGATCATCTACATTTGCTAATAGACAAGGATATTCAGTTTCTCTATCACAAAATTGCGTGAATGGACGTTCTGAATTCTCTTTCAAACATCGATTTTTCTGTTGGGTTAAATTTGTTTTAAGTAGCTGAAATAATTTCAAATTATGTTCACCGATAGTGTGCTCTGTTAACAGCTGAATGCCTTCTTCATCAGATCCATCTGAACAGTCCCACTCTCCATTACACAACCAATTTTCGTAAATACATTGACCTGATCGACATTGATAAAATTGCTTGAAGGTGTAATGTGATGGACATTTCCATTGATGACAGTCAGTTTCATCGGCACCATAACTCTTTTCCCAATAAGAATCACAAGAATTCCAGAATTTGATTGAGTTATCGACTTTTTCGGTGGTATTTGTATCTTCGATGGACGATTCCGCGATGTATTGACGAAGAAATATACAATCGGCAGAATCTCTACTAACACATTTGAGATGATTCAGTTCAACATTGTACTTTTTAGAATATTCATCGTGATTGCTTTTCTTACAATCGGCACGATTATCTCCAATGGACAATACTGTCAAAGAAGTTTTTTCAGTTTCTGAACATTGAAAACGATGTTTTTGAATTGATAAATAATCTTCATACCAATTATTCATTGCCTCATCTGCCGCTAGAAGGAACATTAGAAGATTTTTGAATGATGAGTTCAAACAAAATATGAAAAAAATCAGTGAAATTTACTATCGCTCAATCGAAATAAAATAAAAAATTACTTTCGAAAAATCAGTTTCTAGCAACAACGGGTAATAACTCGCAGAGAATACTTGGAGCTATATATATATCAAATATATTTTCGATTTAGTTTTTGTATAAAATAATGAGAATAATGGAGAATTTCTTACCACGTGCACAATCCCGAATGCCGTCGTTGACATTATATTTTGAGATACAGCTATATGGTACTGAATTTGGGCAATGTTTGGCTTGATTCGGATACGAGTCATTCCAACAATTTCCATAGTTCGTTTCATTCGCATTGATAGATTGATGTCTCTCACACAAAAGCACTTCTAATGGATGAGCACTAAGTGCTCTAACATATGTGACTACTAAAGTTTCATTGACGAGCCAATCTTTCTGGTTGGTTATATCTGGTGCTGCCCACATTGCATTATTACATTTAATGCTACGAGTGAAAATAAAAACGTCTGGCCATACATTACGATCAAAATTGTGCTCATTGCTTTTGTAATAAGTTTCAACAAATGACGTGAATATACGTCCAGATGGATAGGCAAATAATGAGATATCATTTGAACTACAGTAGCTATGAAAATAAACACGACAACCATTACCTGTACATGGGCACAAATAATGTTGACCTTGTCTAGTTAATGCACATTTATGAATAAAGATACAATCATTTTCGTCTTTTAGCACATTTGTTGCGTTATCAACATAGTCTAGGCAATGGCCATTCGCTGGATTTGTCCACATAATCTCTCGATTATTCAGTTCACATTTCCATTGTCTCTCGCGAAATGAGTAGCAAGTGTCAATGTCAATGGACATTGACTTGTCTCGATATTGTGTTATAAAAGATAGTTCTGATCCATCACCACACGAAATGTATTTTTTACTGTCTAATATTCTTTCCTCGCAATCCATTTTGGGCCCAGCAAAACATAACCTTGTAAGGGCATAAATTGAATAACGTTGTTCATCTGATTGGTCTTGACAATCAATATCTCCATCGAGAAAATATTCTTCATCAATACACATTCCACTTCTGCAACGATATTCTCTCTCTGGATTGCACTCATTCAATAACAAATGTTCACAATAGTCTTCATCTGTTCCATCCACACAATTTTGGGTTCCTTTATAATATGAACAAAGAAAGAAATTGAACGTTTTACATAAATGCACATTCTGTATTTACCATCACAAATATTTCTCCAATCAAGACAGACTTTTCCATAATCACATGGAAATGACGTCACATAACACGTTGTAATACCGAACAGTTGACTACCTAGTGGATATTTAAGTTTTTGATTATACTGAGAGAAGATTGTTGCTTCGAAGCTGCTTTGTGAAAATTGATATTCACATAAGACACCAAAAGTTCTCGTATTTGTACAATTACAAATGAATTGTTCTGTTTGTTCATTAGTTCTACAAATTTTAAGAAAAATAGCATATTGTTTTATTATATTTTTTTTTATCACTTACCCATATGGATGATTTGCAAGATAAGCACGGTACCGATCAATTGCAATCACACCAGAGTTCCATAGTAATAATTCTTGTGTAGTAATATTGTATTGTTTCAAAACATCGAAAGATACCAATATACCTCCATTCAAACAACCACGAGAATAATTTCGTTGAACTGACACAAATCTAGCTGGTCTGATACAATATTTAATTGATTGCACTGATTCCATATTGTTGTAGAAAATTTTCCCTCCACCATCATAGTATATGCAATCGTATGACTGTGTCTCTTGGTAATTATTTGTATCGTAGAATACAATAGTTGAATTAACCGAATCGCAGAAGAGAAGAAAATAGACTAAACAGTACAACCATTTAATCTTCAGTCGATATTTTAGCAACATTTTCTACAATCATATATATATATATAATACTTTTCACAAATTTAACAAATGATACAGATATATTCCAAAAAATAGTTGTACTATCTTGAGTGAAGACTGAAACCCAAATATCTACACCTACATGCTCGCAGATCAGCCATTAACCAATATGGGTTCCATCTCTGGAAATCGAACATTTATAATAGACCCCTTATTCATGGAGTCAGTGAGTAGGTGTGCGGGATGATCCTCGCACCGACTCCCCCTATGGAACTTCGAACCCGTCATTCTAAAATGTCTGGCCTATGCGTTTTTTTTAGCTATTTGAGAGCTCCCTCCACTGATGACGAGAATTTTCAAACACTGATTGTGTTGCTTAAGTGGAACTGAACCCGTCCCTTAGGAAATTTCACTTGGTACCTTAACCAGTACAAACGAGAAAAATCTAACGCGAAAGATCAACTTTTTAAGATGAAATCGAATATAGTATGACTTTTTCGGTTGTCCTTTGAGCAAGATTTTCCAAAAACCTTAGTTGAAGCTGAAACGGAGTTTGAGTTTAAGCGAGTTCCTCAATTCCGTTGTAGGAAACTAGATAGCATACACTAAAGTCTCTGGAAACCCTAAAAGATTCGTTTAACTCCTATCTTTTTAGTGCACTGTACGATGTCGCTTGGGTGAGATTTTCGGTAGTTAGTGTCCATCTTTGGCGAGGTTACTATCTAAAGAAAAATCATTGCGATAAATGCCTTTTCTAGACTCGTCAACATAGAAATTACAATTCAAACAGCATAATAATATTTAGTAATGAAAACACATTAGACTGCAGACGAGAAAAGTATGTCGATTTCCAGATATTACTAAATTTGTTGGTACTGTGAGATATACTCTAAGCTGTAAGTGTAGAATTATTTTTCCTACCAAGGTTTTAGCTAGCTTATCCTATTCTAACGCAATTTAAATGGAAACTTTATATGTACTATCTATGAAAATGGTCTTCTTCTCCGGCTCAGAATTAGGGGTATGACAGTTCTCAGATCTAAGTTCAGATCAATTGAGCGAAAGAACTGTTCGAACAGATCAGATCAGATCAGATCCCAAAAGAGACGCCTATATCGATATAGACATCTTCCTAGTGTAGATCCTAACAGTTCTTAGATCTGATCTGATCTGCCCGAACAGTTCTTTTGAACGGAACTAGAACTGAACTGTCATACCCCTACTCAGAATGATTAAATAGATCACTCGAATAGTTCGACTGTACAAGAAGACAATGATTCTAAGCTCATGTGTTATCTAATAAACAAATGGAAGAACAACTATTGAATTCAAGTTGTAGTCCAAAATCCTGTATCATAGATCGAAACTTCGTGGGAGAAAATCTCATAGAAAATAGAACATCGAATAATTCGTAAAAGTATTAGAAGGTCTATGGGGGCCTAACAAGGAACAATACTTCATTGACGCAAATGCCGACTGTAAGTTGTATAGAAATAAAGTGTTAATGTCAATCTTTTAATCAGAAATAATTTTGATACAAAATATTGCAACACACAAAAAACAGAAGGGAGAAAAGCTTTTACGCAGAGCTGTAACTCTGAGTAAAAATATTCTATACAAAAGAAGGCTTATCTATCTATATACTTATCAAACCTGTATACTCGTTAAAAAAGCATGTACGAGAGAGAATAAATCTCTCCTTTCTAATGCATTAACTACTGATTTCAGAAACGTCAAATGTAAATGGAGAAGCATCTGCTCTACCTTTCAAAAATAACTCTAGCGAAAAAGAAACACCTATAACAGAATGCATCTATTTTTATATATAATTTATACTACATTAATTGTTTGCTTGAAAAATATTTATATACAAGAAAAGAAAATCCTTGAGGGGTGAATGAGTACGAATAAAAGTTATATCTTCAGCAACACCCACCAGGTAAATATTAAGTTTAAAAAAAACAATAGTTAAAGTTTAACTCGCAAGTATTCGAAAATGCAGCAAGACCTATCTGACAAGAATAATGATGAGCTACCATTTCAGGTTTTATCATGAATAAAATAAGTTCGTTGTTGCAAGTAATTGAATGCGAATTTCAGAATGACGAGAAAAACAATTTCCTTAATTATTTCACTCTCATCAGAATAAATTCAATCCATTCGAAAGTGTTGTTACCTATGATTATAGCGAACGTTATATGGCAAATTTCACTATTTTAGGATTGACATGAATGAAAAGTAAATTGTGACGAGATCTCTTGTAATTTGATATTTTTAATCATTTTTTCCTTTCTGTTGCAGATATGATTCAGAGCAAAGAACAAGTAAATAATTCCACGACTTCGTACTTTTTATAACTATTGTGAAACTCTTGTTCTCCTTGCTTCTTTTCTTCTTCTTCTTTAAAACATCGTCAAACACAACACAGCCATACGCAACGGTATCTTGGCTTATTTTTAATATTGAGTAAGTGTGTAGTTATAGATCGTATGGATCGCCAGCGTATCCCGGATACGAGAATATCATGAAAATAGATAGAATCTGAAAGTAAAATGACGTATTCACGAGTCCACTTTTGTTTTCTTGGATAAAAATGGCGATGTCAAAACTACTGAGTATCACAGTTAGAAGTTCATTTATGCCGTTTTATAAGTCAATACTCATGCAACATCACTGAATTTGTCTTCAATCAAAGTTGTTACAGTTTTATTATGTTGAAATATGTAGTGGAAATAAAAGTTTTAAGACTTTTGACGTAAATTGTTGACAAACATACTGCTTAGTTCCCAAAGTACGTAAATATTGCTGAGAACGTTACCCTCAAAAGAACACAATTATTCGGTCATTCATTACAAACATATTCCAGCGAAAATACATCTGTTTTACTTGAGCTGCTCAGTGTGTGTACAAGCCTTAACTTGATATAATAATCGTAAAAAACAAGCTCATCAATACTAACAGATACACAGCAAAATGATCATTTTTGCATTACTATATGAATATAGATATTCCATGAAGAAATTGTGCTAGAAAGCTGATATTTTGACTGCAGTAGAATTTCATAGAACACTTTCTGTGACAAAAATGAGGGACATAATAAATGCCGTAAAGTTCTGCAAGAGTTAACATAGTATCTCCTAGAATATTTTTGGGTGACTTATTGTAGGATACTCACAGGTGACCTTTTCCCCGCTGAAAATATACTCGAATTCACTTGAAAATTAATAGAAAACTTTCATAAAGTGAAATAAAAACTATTCAGTAGAAATCAGTATATAAACTTCTAGAGGTTCTCCTAAAGACTCCTCTAAAGAGAAGAAAATCTCGTGGAAATATACGAGGATTTTATAAAAACTTGTTCAAATAAGGATTTCAAGACGTACGAGAAATTCTCAGACTGATTTTTTATCATTGTTAAAAGAGTTTATGAAATTAGACAGAATTTCAGGTACTGATTTATACTAGATAAAATTCATTTCACATGGTGCAACATTTTTATGAATTGTTGAATGAAACGAAGCATATGTTTTGTTATTCTACTCATAACAAATCTAGGTAAATATAACACATAGAAATAAGGGTTAAGGTTAGGAAAAAGGGATTAAATATTAAATTAACGGTTGGAAAAAGCATTAGTCTGGAGTACTAGACTAATTGAGTGTGGTGGACTACATCATACTACTCTAGAACCATTTTTGGAAGAAATAGGAAAAGGTTCCAGCTAGAACCAGATTTTGCTTGAACCTTAAATGTCTCTGAAAATGGTACCCAAATCTAGAACCTTAAAAGGTTCAGTATGATACCGTTTTTTCCTCTGAGTGCAAAATAATCGAGTCGATAGGTGTCTTTATTGCTGCTTGCCATGCTCTGAATGAAAACTGACACGCCTATATTTTACGGTTGGAAAAAATCTGTCTCTTCGGCTGTCGTTAGGAAGAAGAACAAAAACAATATATTTTAGTCATCATGTAAAAATCGTGGAAGTGTTGGTTAGTGTTTAAAAATTAGAAATTAGAATTATTATTTTTTTTTTCTTAGGCGGGTATTTTCTTGCCGGACGAACTATGACGTTTTTGCCAGTAGGATTTTAGTTGATTATGTTCGAAGTAAATCTTGAATGAATTATTTTAGGTGGGCGCATCTTTATTTGCCAGTAATATTGGCAGTGGACATTTCATTGGTCTGGCAGGTATTTTTTTGTATGAAAAATGTTTGAGAGTACCGGGTAACCATTGTGAGCTGTATGAAAGGAAGTGATTATTTATATCTCTTGGTAAATAACAAAATGTCGTCGGTTTTGTTTTGGTACGAGAAGAAATCATTCCATTGTTAATGTTAAAATTATTATCTCGATAGGTAGTGGAGCTGGTTTTGAATTAAATGTATGTTCATGAATATTTAATTGAAATATTTTCGTAGTTGATTTATCATTTTATTTAGGCGAGTTATGTGTTAGTGATTCTCGGTTGGGTTTTTCTACCTGTTTATATAAAAACTGATGTAAGTAAAGGATGGAAATCTAGTTTTTTGTTTTGTTGAAAATACTTTAAAATTAGGTTTTTACAATGGCAGAATTTTCAAAGAAAAGATTCGGTGGTGATAGAATTCGTCTTTATCAAACTGTTCTAGCTTTGATACTTTCTATATTTACTAAAATATCAGTTGATCTCTATTCCGGTGCTATATTTCTTAATCAAGCACTTGGCTGGAATATGTATGTATCAGTTATTGCACTTGTTGCTCTGGCTGCTGTATTTACCATTGGCGGTATATTGAAAGACTAGCGCGCTCTCTCTCTCTTATTTTTTTTCTAACAATGAAAACCTTTGTATTCTAGGAGGATTATCTGATGTTATTTGGACTGATTTTATTCAAACAATTATTATGATTATAAGTTATGTTAGAGTAGGTGGTTAACAAATGATAAAAGAACTTTATCCATATTCTCTTGCCAATAGAACATTATTTAATGATACCATGTGTGGCGTATCACCGGAAGATTATTTTAGTATTATTCGACCACTTAGCTCAAGTAATGGTCCTCCATGGGTGGGGATTTTAGGTATGCCTATTTTGAGTATTTGGTATTAGTGCAGGTCAGTTCATAAACTTCGTAGAAACCTTAAACTTATGAAGAATTTTTGTATTTTATTTTTTTTAGTGATCAAGTGGGTAAAAATAAAATATTTAAGCGTGATGTTGATGATTGACTAATATTTAGATAATTGCTCAACGAGCGCTTGCTGCTAAAAATCTAACTCATGCTCGAGCTGGTTGTATATCTTATTGTTAATGAAGACAGAATTGGTTGTTCAAGTCCGCAAACATGTAAAGAAATATGTGGTAATGAAGCATCGTGTACCGATATAGCGTATCCATTGATTGTTATTGAATTGATACCAAGAGGTTTACGTGGTCTTATGCTTGCTTGTATGATTGCAGCATTAATGACTTCATTAACATCGATATTTAATTCATCATCAACTATATTTACTATTGATATATGGCAACGTTTTCGAGCTAGAGCACTACAATTGGAATTATTGATAGTCGGAAGGTAAGAGAAATAAAAGAAAAATTTATACTCATTTCACCCCCGAAATAGAGTTTTTACATTGATACTTGTTGGTATATCAATTCTTTGAATTCCAATTATTTCAATAGCACAAGGTGGTCGTCTATTTGACTATATTCAGTAGGATACATTCTATTTATGAAAGTCGAAAAAAACAAAAATTAATTCCTATAGATCAGTGCAATTAATTTTCTTGCAATATTATGGAAACGCGTGAATGAGGAAGTGAGTGCTGTTGGAAGCAAATGAAATGAATATCGAATTTTTTATCTATCATTTAGGCTGCATTCTGGGGTCTTATATGTAGTTTAGTGATTGGTTTAATTTGTTTGCTTGGGAATATTCATATTCAGTTCCGCCATACGCATTATCACATACAGATCAACGCCCGGATGCAATTAAATTTCATTATTTATATTTTGCTATTCTTCTATTTGTACTCACTTGTTTAATTACGATAACGATCAGTCTGCTAACTCGACCTATTCCTGATCAATGTGTAAGTTAAACAAAGTTATGATACAAAGATTCATGGAAATCTTGTACTTGTTTTTAATAGTTACATGGTCTGAATATATTTGATTTAAATAATCCAGTTTAACCAACACCAATACCAACAAAATCAGGCAATTTACATAAAGCAGATACTTCATTTGAAGATAAAAACAGTCCATTAACTGTTCCTATTCAATCAACAGGTGTAGCTGGATAAACGATGCGTATTTTTTCTCTGGGTAATTAAAGATTTTATTTTTTCTTGAAATTAACACTATCGATTTATTTCTATAAATTCAATGAATAAAAATGGAACAAATGATACGGTGACAATGCCGCCATTAGCAGCAGAGAATTTATTTTGGAAACGCTTTTGTAATTTAAATGGTATAATTATTTTAGGATTTTGTGCTTTTCTTTGGGCATTTTTTGCTGATTATCGTATTGATAAAATGTATGCGAATGCTTAATACATTGAACTATGAGAAAACATTTTATTTTTCTGGAAATAAAAGAACATTTTAGTTAGAATTGTGGTAGTAAGAAAACTGCTGGCGTATGGGCGTGGGTGGATTTTAGTTTAATAAGACACTCACACCCACACCCTGACCGGGATTCGTTTACTTTTCTATTTTTGTTTTATACATATAGTTAATTCGAGCATTTATTTAATTCATACGATCATACCCATACCCTTCAAACAGTAATAATCATTGATCAAAAGTTATTAGACCTTCCATTTGACAGCATGCCATACTATTCACGATCAATTCTCGAGTTTCGTTTTCATGGAATCAAAATGTTTCCGGTATAGTTGAAGTTGAAGCTGCTTTGGCGACATAGTAAGAAGAGCAATATCAAGGGCTTGTTTAGCATGTTCAAACGCTTCAACGTGTTGTTCGAGTTTAGAGTGAGTGACTGATATATTATAATGTGCGACGGCGATGTTGTGATGGTAAGGCGGTAAAGAGTTTTCGTAGATAGTGAAACATAGTTTGTAACTTGTCAAAGCCTCTGAAAAACATTGCCTAGCAAAGGAGAGCCCACCGATGTCAACATAACCAGTACCGAAGTGTGGATGATTAGAAGGAAGATGTTTGAGACGGATTTCTAGTGCACGATCGTAACTCTCTTGTGCTTCGTTGAAAAGACCTTGAATTTGGTAAATAACCCCAATCTGGTGATATCCATAGGCCTAGCATGCACAGAAGGTAAACTTATAGGAGGAAAAATTTCGGTACATACAATTTGTTCTTGGTTTGGTGGATCTGCACCGAGATCTATTGCAAGCGCATCTTGGTAATATTCAAGAGCTTTGTCATGCTCACCTTTGTCCCTGAGTACCAAGCCTATGTTTCTGTAGGTAAGAGCTACTCGAGAGGATTGACGGTTCGTCCTGTTGGAAAGTGATTGTTCATAGTATGTTAGTGCTAGGTCGAGCTCGTTCTTTTGCCACGCCAGATAACCTAGCTGGTTTTGTATGTGTGCGATCTCATCAACATTACTTTTGTCAGTGGTTGCAAGTAGTATTTCATAAATCTCTGTGCCTGTATCCCATGCACCCATCCTTGCAAGCAGTTGTGCTAGTTTTGGTACTCCTGTGAATTCCCCTACTGTGGCTTTCATATAGTCTGTGAGTTGCATCAGCTGAGGATCAGTGTCGCATGTCAGAATCATGCTTATTTCCCACAAACCATTATCCATCTGCGTGATCTCACCAAGACGAAAGACTGAACTCATACCAAATAAAACTTCATTTTCAGCATTGACATAGCTATGACCACATAGAGAAGCGAACCGACTTGAAGTGATAGTTTGGTCAACTAGGATTGTAAATAAAACGGCAGTCACATTCGAAACACCCAACGAAGGTAAAGCGAATGCCACTGCGACGTCTCTATCTAAACTGGTTGATAGGAAGTTGTTGAATGACAGAAGACCATTCGTACCATTCCTTAGTTGTGTAAAGTCGGCATTTGATATGCTAGAAGAGTTGTATTTGTTTGAGAACCTTTTCAGTCAGGAAAGCTTGAGTTCGAGGTTTACATGAATACATTGCCTCGTAGAATCTTCGTATATTTATTTACTTTATAATACGAAAAAACTTCCCTATCGATTCCAGAGTTATTGTCCGATAAGGTCAATCAGGTATTTTTACTGACAGTATCCAATTTAGCTGAAAATTTCATAATACCGTGAGAGTATGAATTGGTGGATGTTATTGAAACAAAGATCCACACCGTCAAGGTCTCGCGTTTTCTCACTGTTTTGAAACGATTTGACGTGGAAACATGGTTGGCCTGGGACTATTTTTGATGCTGGCACCGGTTCTCACTTCAAAAGTCTTGTCAAACAAGAAAAAAATTCTCCGGACTGTCTTCAGAAAGTCGAAAAGTAACACCCACACACACACCTCGAATGATCTTTGGAAAGCTTTCATGGGTACCTTCTAGATAACCCCTCCTCCTTTTTAGCAAGACTTTTAAAGAAAAATTCGGAACCAGCATCAAAAACTGCTCTAAACCAATTAGGTTTCAACTTCGAAATCTTTAACGGAAGAGAGAGAGAGAAGAAAACCTCGAGAAAGGGGAGCTTTCACCAATATGTCTGTCAAAATTGAATGAAAAAACTTTTTATACCGAGACATGTTGTTTGTGCATAACCAACCTAACTAGAAGTAGTCATCAAAATGTTAACTTTTTTACAATTTGTGCTTCGAAATGGAAACGGTTTTTTAGTGAAAACACAGAGTTTTTATAGGCACCGACCGTGCTTATTTGAGAAATTCATAACTTCTGAAGGAAATGGTTTCAAGACTTCAAATTTTCTTCATAATCTAGCTTTGGTGTCTACTGCATATGGTATCATTTTCAGCCATATCAACTACTGTCAGTATAGTCATTAGCCTTACGATGTCACACTTTCTGAGTAAATGGTTCTTGATACAAAGCATGTTTGAGTAGAAACATTCTTTTTAACCACATAATATTCCCAGCCGCATACAGTCATATTCAGTTGTCTCGTATTGTTTTAGAAGAAAGTACTGAGTGTAAGTTTTAAGTCAAACTTTTCCAGTCCCTCTCCACTACTCTTTCAATGATTGTAACAAATTTGATATTTTCTTAGCAAGCTTGATTCCTCTTAATTAGTAAATACATCTTTCTTTCTAATAAATTTATACTATTTTATTACATAAGAAATTGTACGAAATCGTCTACTGGGAGCTATAGCATGTGTGAGTTCCACATTTTACTCGCGGAGAGACTGAGCTAAAAAGCTTTATATGCTATCAAGTGGGACTTCTGGCGGACAAAAAAACAAATATTTTAATTTTTGATAATATTTGTTGCGAAGCTACAATTTTTAAACTAATTGCTCTTACACGAGAAGACATGTTCGTACACAAAGAAATTGTAAATCTCGTCACAGCCCTTTTGGCTGAAAAAATATTGATTGTCATCTTTCGTTTGCTCTCATCCTTCTTCCATTACTATTATTTCACTAACCTTTGTCCTCGGTAAACAGAAAATGTTTCTGACGGCAAGGTGATGAAGAATAACTCCAGTTGACGATGAAGATCTTTGATAAAGAAACCAAACTTGGTAATTATTTCGATGTTATGTATTCTCAAAGCCTTGTTTAACATTCTATATATGAAACAGTCCCTCGTATACCACCATACTGGTGAATGCCTCTCATAATCGCTGTAGAATTCATCAATCACTCTCAATACTGTCGCATTTCCAGCGTATGCACGCTTACATAACTCGACGAGCGCTTTAATCGCGTCTACACCGTACTCGATTTCTGAAAATGTTTGTTTCAACAGTTGACAGTACATAAACATGGTATTCAATGTATTGTATGAATAAGGCATGGATGATGAGGCAGCTGGAAGCACAGTAATTGGTGTAAGGTTATGGTTGACATAACAAATGTTTTCTACGAGTGCTTTACGTATAGATGATATATCTCGGCATACGTGATTAATTTTAAGAAAGCTCTTGGACAAGAACAGCACACATGTTGGTGTGTGTGTGCAGAAAATGTAAATGGTTTGTATGGCGGATTTGTCGTGAATTATTGGGACTATCGAGTCGCTTAGCTGCTCTGAGACAATCAATAGAATTCTTTCATTCTCTGTATCAGATATAAAATCGGCGCATTCGTCTCGATTAGTGAAGGATTCAGTTGAATAATCAAGTTCAGACAGCTGTAATAAATCATTTTCTTGTACGCCGAGTGCAACTACAATAGCATTATCCACGTATGAACGGCGGAAGCGAGTCGATCTGATACTAATCGTTTGAAGTGCCTCAGCTTCATCAGATACATGCGCCATTTTGCAAAGGCTATTATAACGTGTCTTCTGTGGAGTAATAGACTTTTTTCCAGCTCACATTGAAATTCATTTATATAAAGTCTGAAATCACTACAGGTGTGCTCTATCTCAACGAAACATGATATACTTTCATTTTTCTTCTTGTAATTCGTTTTCGAAGAAATATTTCAATTCTGATTTACGCTCTCGACGCAGAACATGATAAAGAAATAAGCTCACTCTAGGAACCGAATATCACTTTATCTTTTATCGAGTTAACATTCTGTCATTGTCCTCTAATAACAGTTTTATGGCTTCTGTCATCTTTGATATGCTATTTATTGACACACTAATTCGTCACTTAGCATTTTACGTCACGACATTATTCTTTTCACACACATAGATTCACCACCTGCAAGATTCAACGAGATTGCCATGAAGGTCGAAGTGTTAGTAAAACCAACTGCTTATTCCTTGAGCGAACTTTCGAAAACAACGTTAGATATATCAAACTGAGTAATTGCGAGGCTTGTTCAAAGTAATAGAGGAATCGGAGTCAAATATCATAATCTCCTTTAGAATGAGTGCGTAAACAGTGGTGCATTCGGTTGCTAATTTTCGATCAAAATAGCCTGCCCTTCTTCTCAGGGAGAAATCTTTTCTCAAATATTATCGACTACTCTCCGATTAACAACTAAAGTAGCCTTTTATCATTCTAAACAAAAAATTTCGAGGATCTTTTCACATAGTAAAATGCATTTGAGTTTGTGGAAGAGCACCAGGAAGAAGAGCAATTCTATACTGAACATACTTTATTTTTCTCACGTACGAACACATGTGCATGAAATACACCATTGACGCTCTGCAATCGTTGCGGGTTAACAAACACTATAATGTCATATTGTTCATTCGGAATAAACTGTCTATCCACCACTTCTTGAACTAGTTTTTCGGGGTTTGTCGGTTGTCCATCTAACCAGACCAGCCAGTGTTTGATATCCGTACTTAGGTGGTAGGGAAATTCATTGAATATAAGAAGTGGATCTTTGATGGAGGACGGGGAGGCAACGGCCACGTGCTTGCCTATCTTTTCATCAAAGTCACATGCATAGTGAAGCATATGAATGCGAACATAGTCATTGACCGATGCGTATTCACTGAGGACTTGTGTTGTGTGTCTGATATAACGTTCTTCGACGGATGATGAACGCCGCCATGGAGGTATAAGTTCTCGGTTGCCTACAGCTTCAGTCAGTTCTTGCCAGTCAATCGGTTCAGAAACAGTCTTACTAAAAGGAAAATCAGTTGATTATCGAACACATTGTGCTTAACCCGTTTTAGCGAGTTTGGAAGTGTGCAGGAGCAATGCCTGTAATTTATTTCCAAGTTTAGTGTTTTTTGTATTGTTTGGATATCTTGAGTGTATGAGTGTGGGTGTGTTGGTAAAGAGAAAAAGCTATTAACGCAATCCCTGTGTGACTAAAATGTGAAAAACGATGAAACTCCTTCGTTGCAACCCGTCTGCACAGGTGTCTAAGTATTTGCAGCTTTTTTGCTACTGCCTGCAATGATATATGGAGTCTCGAAAGACCATCCGAGATCGTGACAGTGCAATTAATGAATTTGTATGTCACGACCAGTATGGGGGCACGGATGCGTCCAACGTTTTACCCTATATACTTCAACACTCCTGTTAGATGGAGTTCCACAAAATTATGCTCACACCCACACCCCATCCGCACAAGTTTCGTAGAGAATTAGTCTGCGCATCTTTTGGAGAAACAACCAGATTAAGGGATATAGGTATACGGTAGGATAATAAAACATTAGATATGTGTCATGCTAGGACATCTATATCCTATTGAGGTGGTGTCCTTCTCTCATTTTCTCCTCTTTGGAAAATAGTTATTGGTGTTCTTGTTTATTCTTTCGAACAGTTAGTTAATAAAGTGGTTATCTTCTACTTGATATGAAATATCACGCCTTTTTGATTAAGTATATTAAAAGTAGATCTTAACAATATGAAAGATACAAAAATAATCTCATAAGCTCTGTTGTGATCACTGACGTGAGCTCTGAGTCGTCATAGCTATAGCTATCTCATGATGATTCGAACGGAGTGCATGGACGGCGAGTACCTAGTTGTTTTTTAGGAGATTCACTTTCTGCTGGTCACTTTGACTATGTGAATACGAGTGAAGTAATTTTAGAAATTTGAATTGACTTTGAAGTGGCGCAACTTCTTTTAAATTGCAATCTGTAAAGAATGCACATTTGGGTTATGTCAACGATTGAACGACACCGCATCCTCATAATTAATTCTAAATAAAAAGGCTATTCGTAATATATTCCTTTAAGAATGTCCGATATGTAGAATGAGAAGGTTCTGTGGTTTCAAATTATCATTATAAAACGGTAGGCATCTCATCAGATGCTATCGACACGACCTAGTCGACGCAGGTGATATATTCGCTTTTCCACCGTGCTTCTTTAAACTTCATGAACAATAATTGGTTTTGTGAAGTGAAACAAGGGTACTTTTACAAAATGCGTTTTTTCTATTGTGCGCCAAACAAATTATATACACTTACATGTGCGTGTTTGATGTTTGATGATTGTCTAACACCATTCTATCAGTGGAAAACTCTTGCCGTTACAAAACTATTAATCGTCACAAAAATGAGAGAATAAAACAGAGAAAATAAGGCTTCGCCGCGAGTGATACATAAGCGAATGATTCTTTTCATTTTCATTTAAATAAATTCACTTGAAGCGGGTATGATTCTGTTGATTTTTAGGCTTTTTCATCTCACATGACTAACGAGCAGCTGCTCTTGTTCTTTCGTTCTCTCATTTTCAAATCAATGTTTTCTGAAGCGTAGGCGTGAATAAGCAAATGAAGAATGATTAGAGGTGTCGATTTACAGTGTATTTTATATAAATTTTAATTCAAAAAAAATTTATTCTAATTTTTGGATCGAGGAATAATTTATACATTCTTTTTTCATTTTATATTTTGAGGCTGTTGGTTGTGGGTGTACCAAGCTACTAATTATCCAGTTCCTCACATAAAAATCTGCATGTCTTTGCCGTTCCGAACACATATTAAAAATTTTACGAAATAGTAAGATTTAATGTAAAATTTCAGAGGCCATGATTTTCTTGCGATTTTTAGTCGGATCTTACACGATCATATAAAATCAGATGCAGAATCTTGTTAGATTTTAACAATTGATTATTTGCTCTTGGTTGTGCAGTATCTGTGTATAATATTACTCTTTTGGAATAAGTAGGTGCACAGAAATACAAACGATCAGAATTCATTGAATATATCTTTTTGTTCCTTTGTTCGGATGAGTGTGCATGTGAGAAAGCAATCCTTCCATGATTTTCATCATTTTTCGCAAGTCGCACTTTCTCTTTTCATTTCCTCAGCGTAAATTAATAGATTGACTATAATTATATCTAGAGAGTGTGTTTGTAAGAAATCGTTTGACACCGTGCTATCCAAAACGCTTGCTTCTTTCCAGTAAAGTGTAGTCATCTTCCAAGTATTATCAAACCGTTGTCAATATTAATCCATGTCAACTAAATACGCTTGCGATCGGAGAAATGCGATCTTTTATGGACAAACAGAGCTTGTCTGTGACTTTTGTTTTACTCTCTGTTTCTTCATAGAAGATTATATTTCTTCGTGTACAGTTTGGAGATATAAAATCGTCCAAAAATATAATTATATACGGGGAAACTAGGAGGGAGAGGTGTTACTACATTTTGACAGTAAGACAATCGATTATGGTAATCTAGACTGTTAAAAATCCATTTTCACGAAATTCTATAGGAGGTATCCGTGTTTGTCACTATATAAAATCTTTTATAGGTTTCTGAGAAGTCGAAAACCCTAAAAAATAGACACTGAATACTGAGTACAATACATGTTATTTTTTAAAATTTTGGGCTGTTAGTGTGGGTAAGATGAAAGATAAGTTTAGGAAACGCCCACGCCCACACCCTGCTTTTGGTTATACAGATAAATGTCGGTTTTATACAGCTTGGACAGATGCCTTATATTTACGTGTATGTCGTCTTAATCCAGAAAAAAAAGATGTAAATAAATGTTTAGCAAAAGATCGAAATGGAGCTGAAGTATCAATTCGAATTGAAAAAGACTTAAAAGATAAGTTTATTAATGCATGGAAAAGAGATATTATTGAAAATATTGAAAATGTAAAGAAATAAAATCTTATTTTAACTGATTTGAAAAACGTTTATGCACAAAGGGAAAACTGGACAGTTTCTTATTAAAACAATAGTGTCAAGCTTGGAACTTGAATTCAAATTAAAAAAGCTTTATTCCAGTTTCAAGTAGCATATTAGAGATTACCTATAAGTTGCTTATTTATAACCCAGCTTCCGAGAGGTTATCTATAGATTGCTAGATCATACTTAAACTCTTGAAAGATTAAGAGCTATCTGCAGTTTTATGCCATAAATATTTCCGCATAAAATCATAATACGAACAGTTTTTGAAGAATTTAATATCCATAATAATAATTTTAAAATAATGATAAAGTTTTTTCAAGTTACAATAAGCAAATCAAACACAAAACGACCAATGTATTATGTAGAAAAATCCATCTAGTTCGAGTAGACTTCGATTAACGAAAACAAAATAAATTCTTTAGAACTTACTTCTATAAATACAATCTTGTGGATTCAACACAAAAATCACAAATCGAAAAGAGGATAATCAATATTCTTCACACAAAGGTAGCAAGCACAGTAACATTCCAGTGAATCAAGAAGACGCCTTTCGAGATTCGATGAAGATAAAACGAATAATTTTGAAAATACAATTCTTTCATTTCTCATACTACTGACAAAATAAATCGATACAATGAATGAAATCTAAATGAAATATGATCGAATCCATTAAATCGTATCTTCGACACATTTTAAGCAATGCCTTCAACATTTTAGATACTTTTTCTACAAACATCAGCAAAAAACAAGAATGGCAACATATGCAATTATATTATATATTTGTTTAATTTAAAATGTCTATTTTTATTTTCCCTTTTTTTAATTAAATATGATAATAAAATAGATTTATATGTCGATTACGTGTCTGGAGGGCTGGACAACATCCCCAAAAATCGAGAAACTGTTCCATTTTCAGCAGAAATCGTTTACCCACAAAAAGGCAAGAAGGAACGCTTCATTAAGAAGAAATTACTTTCTAAGCCGAACTTCATCCAAAACACAGAGACATCAATCATCTCCTTCTCACCTCTCAAACAAATTTCAACTAGGAACGATTGTATTCAACAGAAGTGGTTATTATTTTAAGCAGAAATGATTCAACCGTTTCTCCTCTCACAAGCCAAAATCGATAAGATACTAGGAGATATCAATTATTTTTTTTCGTCTTACAGGCCATAGTTTCTAGCAGAAACGATTGTATTCAACAGAATTGGTTATTATTATAAGGAGAAAATGATTCAACCGTTTCTCCTCTCACAAGCCAAAATCGATAAGATACTAGGAGATATCAATTTTTTTTTTCGTCTTACAGGCCATAGTTTCTAGCAGAAACGGTTTTACTCCAGCAGAAGTGGTTTTATTTTAAGCAGAAATGGTTCTTTTTTTCATTCCTCTTTGTGAAGAGGATTTCTCTATATATTTTAATCATTTCTAATTGAATCAAATATCATCGTCGACGAACAAAAGCAACTGATATATGTATGTATATATTTGAATTCTTTTTTTTTCATTTCTCCTTGGTATCCATAATTTTTCGTGGGTGATGCATTTCTGCTTAAAGTGGAACAGTTTCCCGATCGATTGGTACTGTTGTCCACTACTGCACGTCTGAAATTAAAACCTAGATGTCACTATTCAAAATTCGCACAATCACACTCACATGCTCATGATTGAAACTTATATTTGTGAAAAATGGAGGATCAATAAAATGATTAGTGAAGATGTATCATAAGATTAATTGATTCGGCTTATTTTTCATTCGAATGTAATCCATTTTATCTAACCTTTACATGTTACAATGTGCTTTGTCATTATTTGATAGTGTGTTAGTTTATATTTTCTTAGATAGCCGAAACAAGCCAAAATTGGTAACGTTTCGACTGATGAGATACGTTAAAAAAGAAAGTGATACCGTACAATATACGAAACTAAACGATGAAAGATCTAATACGACATGTAGATTTAGAAGTGTCGTAGTAGCAGTGATCGTGATAATAATAGTCATGTGTTGCTGTACTATCCTATGGCGATTTTTAAGAGTACAGTAAGTCTAATACTAGCAAAAGCTTTACAGATTATGTAATCATTTTTTCTAAATACAGTAGATTACGAATCAATAGTCATACACTCAAAATAAACTTTACAACATCTGCGAACTGTACGACATCGGATCAAGGCGAAAATTCAGTTTCACCACAAATAGAAAAATTTGAGACTCACTACACATCGCAACTTTTTACAGATACGAGTACTGTTGAAATGACCGAACAAAGTTCAACATATACCACTGTATTTGTTCAGCCTGGTAAGATGTTCTTACTTTGTAGTTTAACATGAGTATGATTTTATTTTTCGAAGGAGTTAGCATTAATTATGTTATTTTTATTGATAGTTACGACTACAGCAGTGACATCGAATGATGTTGACATTTGCGCAACTGCAACATGGGCAACAGATGGCGTATCAGTCGCAGGTGGTCAAGGAGCAGGAAAAAATTTGAATCAACTAGACTATCCTCGTGGAACTTTCGTTGATGATACTGGAGCCCTTTATATTACAGATGATAATCTTCGGGTAATGAAATGGAAGCATGGAGCAAAAAGTGGTGTTATGGTCGCCGGATTCGGTGGCCGAGGTAATGGTAGCGATCAATTTGAATATTACTTACATAATCTGGCTGTCGACACTGAAGGAACAATGTACATATGTGATAAAGGAAACGAACGAGTTGTACGATGGGAAAAGGAGGCAAAAAGCGGTCAGAGCATTATCATGGGCATTAATTGTTATGGAGTAACTTTGGATCATGAGGGTCTATTGTATGTGTCTGATGTTGATAATGATCTCGTGATGAAATATAGTGATGATTTCTCTCGCAAAGAAATAGTTGCAGGCGGCAATGGAGAAGGTGCAGCACTTAATCAATTGAATCGGCCTCATTTTACTTTTGTCGATCTTAATTTCAACTTATTTGTACCTGACACGGACAATCATCGAATAATGAAATGGCCAAAGGGTTCTACACAGGGTATTGTTGTAAGTGGAAACGGGAACTCGAGTCAACTTGCGGGACCACATGCTATTGTTGCAGACAAGATCGGCACTATTTACGTTGTTGATCATGAATTACATCGTGTCATGCGATGGTTGAAAGGTTCTCAATCGGGCGATCTTCTATTTGGAGGACATGAATATGGGTATAGAGCAAATCAACTTGCGTTCCCTGTTGATATAGACTTTGATCGAAACGGTAATTTGTATGTTACTGATCGTAACAATCATCGTATTCAAATGTATGCTGTTAATAAAACTTCATGCCTATCATCATCCACGTTTTATTAATAAATACTACATGAATCATCAATGAGTTACTAATATAAGTCAATATCTAACTTTGATCCATAAAATAATACTAATATTTGTCATGTTTTGTTTTACACTTTTCTGAAATAAATGAAAAATGTGTATATATTGATTTGAATCCTAAACCTATCCCGGATACGTGAACCTCATGAAAATACAGAGGATTCACGAATCAATCTGTGAAATATACTGTTTGAACATGAATTTTAAGCATTACGATAGAAGTTTGTTGAAAATATATTTTTCCATTTCTAAAGAATTCCAATATTTATGAGGTGCGCTATTCGCAAAAGTCCCATACAAGAACAAATCGTGTTAAAAAGTTGATATGTTAACCATGGCGAACTCTTATTGAGCAATGAATCTGAATAGAAGTCGTGATTTTCGTAGGGTCCGACGTCACGGAATATCTGATCGACTGAAATCGTGTTGGTATGCTTTCGATATTCAAAAGCAATTTGTTTGCCATGATAAATAAACTAAACTAATTTTGAAAATAATAGTCCCATCAAGTGAAATAATAATCTCTAGTATAAATCAGTATATAATTCTTTTGAAAACACACCCAATGATAATCATGATTTGAAAATCCCTTAGACACATACGTCAAGAACTCAATTGAACAACTGATGGATATATTTATACGTCCGGTTGAATCTACAAAAGCAGAAAATCTGTATGAGATTCTTCTAGGGAAAGTTTCGCCAGATAGAGTTCAATTAGAATATTATAATCAACTTGAGGGTGTGGGTGTGTCGCAGTGGCGGATCTACCAGTTAGGCTACCCGGCCATCGCCACCCCCTGAAAAAAGTTTTTTCGATTTTTCCCAGGAGAAATGAAACAGAAAATAGTCGTTCTGTCTCAAATATACTTGAAATACCGTTTCTTGGCCAGGAGCGCCACCCCCTTACAGATTTTCTGGATCCGCCGCTGGTGTGTCGGTAGATGTAAATTTGTGTGTGATTGAAATAAAGACACACCTATACCCTAATATTCTATGGCCGATTGAATCGTTAATCACATGAATGTTTTTTTCAAGACAGTGTTTAAACATGAATATGTCAGTCGCCTTGATCGGGCTGAAAATGTGCTACTGAACTTATTACCCAGTGCTTGACCACAGAACGGATTGATTCTATGCAGCAAGAAATTCGCCAAATTTCGTACCACCTCGTACACCAAGTTTCGGATCTCGGTGAAATACTCTCCTTGTCTACACTCACATTTGTACCCTCACCTGCATTCAATAGCTGTCACATCATCCAGTGAATTGACTACACGTAACCTAATCACTAACTGTTTTCATGATAAATTATTCAGCTTCTTTATACACTAGTTGCATTGTGTCGTGTATAAGCATTTGATAAGGAGACATGAAAAATGACAACTTAAAAACACAAAGAAAATTTGTGATCAAAAGTATTTTTTTTTGTTTTTTAGTAATCGGAAGTACTTTTTCCTTTTTTTTCGACATTAAATGAATTTGGTCTTGTATAACATCATCAATTAGATTAGGGTCAAATTTAAATACATTTTTGCTCTATCTTGAGAGATGTTCAAATATTGAGCTAGTTTTGTAGTCGCCCTATATTTCCTATATTTTTCGAAAAAAATGAACATTGTTTTGAATGGAGTCTCATATCCTAGCAAAAAAAAGGTATCTTCTGCGTTGATGTTAAATATCGTCATATAGTGGAAGAAAATCGACCAAATATGTTGTGCAAAGACTTTTTAAACGTAGTTTAATTTTTATTTTATATGATGCAAGATCATACTTGTAAAAGAAAAAAGAAACACTAGTGTGAATTTTCTCTTTCGCTCATCAATTAATTTACTTCCTATGTGTTTATTTCTAAATATATGTTTGCATTTTCTTTTTGTTTCTTTGTTTTTTGATAAATCTATGAATCTATTACGGATGAGATTTAAGAAAAAACTAAGAAACAAAATTTTATACAGGCAGAGGCGGCGGAGCTCTTAGGCTTGGGAATGCTCAGATATATGAGAAAATTTCACAGATCTCATTCTGAATATCTCAAAGATATTATCATCATAATTTATTTGGTATATATCGTTGCATACACAAATGGTACAATCTTCAATTTTTTAAATGCATTTCGGTGATTTCTAACAAAGCTATCGAAAAACTCCTGTTGATTTGCTGAGGGATGTCATAATATCCACAACTTGGGTATCGAGATGAACACCCAGATAGGATATCCATTTATATCGATATCTATGTATCCTCAGAGTTGAGGAATTTGAGTCCATTTGGTGTAACGAGATTGGGTATCCATTTATATCGATATCTATGTATCCTCAGAGTTGAGGAATTTGAGTCCATTTGGTGTAACGAGAATGGGTATCCATTTGTATGGATATCTATGTTTCTCCAGAGTTGAGGAATTTGAGTCCATTTGGTGTAACGAGAATGGGTATCCATTTGGATGGGTATCCATTTGTATGGATATCTATGTTCCTCCAGAGTTGAGGAATTTGAGTGCATCTGGTGTTATGCGATGGGTATACATTTCCGATACCCATCCCGTTACACCAAATGCACTCAAATTCCTCAGCTCTGGAGGAACATAGATATCGATATAAATGGATACCCATTCTCGTTACACCAAATGGACTCAAATTCCTCAACTCTGAGGATACATAGATATCGATATAAATGGATACCCAATCTCGTTACACCAAATGGACTCAAATTCCTCAACTCTGAGGATACATAGATATCGATATAAATGGATACCCAATCTCGTTACACCAAATGGACTCAAATTCCTCAACTCTGAGGATACATAGATATCGATATAAATGGATATCCAATCTCGTTACACCAAATGGACTCAAATTCTTCAACTCTGAGGAACATGGGTATCCATTTTAGATATCCACTTGAATGGATATCGTGACTGGTGTGTCGACGATACCCAGTGTTAGGATATTATGACATCTCTGGATTTGCTGTGATCGACTTTACAAACTTGAAGGGGAATATGTATAAAATGTTTCTATTACAGATTACATTGGAGTTAAGAGACATATTTGAAGTAATATTTGTTTTTCATTTATTTTTGCACGGAAAAAGGATAAAAACTTGAATTGCTTTTAAAGGTGTATCATTTAACTGTCGACAACATCCAGAGAAAAATGTTCTCTCGGCATATTGTAATCGAATTGAAGAGAGAAAAAACTAAAGATGTACAAGACACTGGAATTTTCCACCATGTCAGTACAATAAATGCTCCAGAATTGAATTATCAAAATCAAGCTTTGTATATAAAAAAAATCATTACCGAGTAAAATAATACTACCAAGGTAATTTGTTTCCTGTTCAAAAGTCGCCATTAAAGAATCAAAACTGAATAATTAGGCGATTCATCGTTAAAATAGAGGAGCAAAGTCCACTGAGAAGAGTGAAACAATTGTAGTATCGTGTACGTCGTTGATGTAATCCCGCAAAAAATCGATTAAGCTAGTCTAGAGGGAATTTGCTTTAAGAAACATTCAAGTTTCCAGAATTTTTATGTGGATACTAATAAGAATTAGATTAATTAGAGATATTTACTACTTCCAATATAATGAACAGTAACAATATTTCATACATCCTTTCTTTCGCTTTCCTAAGAACTTTTCAGAACAATTCAACAGGTCCTTGTGATGCAGTTGTCTTAAAAAACCCAGTAACTTCTAGGAATCATTCTATCGAAATTTTCCTGTACGTCCTCGTACTCATCTCACCGTCAAATGGAAGAAATTTAAGTAAAGACAGGTGCTTGGTTGAAGGTGGAAGGTCACTCTTTCAGAGCATATACTTTTTTTTAATATGATTGAATTGTATCCTATGCTGTCATATAGATAAATTCCGTTTGTTGAACGAATCGAGCAAATCTCAAAAAAAGATAAATTACGAATGATTCATTCGCAAATTTAACGGGCGAATCTTTCGACGAAATTTATCTCATTCTACTATTACTGCCTGAAAAGTTGCGAATCTCCCCTATATTAGAATCGCTCCGCCGCTTCTGATCCGGAAATAAATTCGAAATCTCAATAATCTACATCAAGCAGAGCATTGTGGCTGTGTTAATCAATGCATAATTATGAAAAGCAGGAACATTATTATATTATCATTATTAAAGAATATATTCTTCGTTGTTACGTATTGATTTACTCATATAGTTCAAGAAGTGGCAGATTGAAAGAAATTCGATGGTAATTATTCAATATAATAAGAAATAATTTTCATAAGAAAACAGATAAAATATTTAATGAAATGTCAATGATTTATGAGACGAATTCTTTTCATTGATTTGTTTGTTTCATCAACCAAGAATACTTTCAAGTTTACGAGAATAATCTTTTTTAATTCGCTAGTCAAAATAACCTATATAGAAAGATCAGAGTTTTCTCTATGATGATAAAGATGTTTCGATTAGTCAGAACTTGTTAGAAATCGTTCAAACCTTCTTATAGGATTATTTTTCAGTGACCTAAACATGGCAATAATTCAATCAATTCTTGCTCGACGACAGAAATTATTTGAAACCCAATTATATCTTGAACTATAGGTCTAAAATTCTACTATCTAAAACATCAAATTCACTGAATCGGAATCTGATTTTGGAGTCCCAACGCAATTCACTATTTTCCGCGAAATATTTGTTTTTCTTTTGTTCTACACATGCCATGTGGTGGTGGTAGTTGCTACTCAAAAACAAGTGTAGAACGAACGATAAAAAAGAAACATGTTACATCGCACAATACTAACCATTATAATATTTTCCATTAGAAATTAAAATTCTGTCCGATATTATTGATTTAGCTTCATAAAAGAATAAAGAACTGAAAGTAAACATAGGATATTGATGCACATCGGCTTCATGATTCATGAAAAACAATGAATCTATATGACGTTTTTCAATATAAACTTCAAAAGTATATTCCGCAATAACGAAGTTTCTGTGAATTTCGTATAATCTTGGTATTTGCTCACTTCCCGAGAACCTGGTATATAAGAAGCAAAGGATTGTAGACTAAAGGACACAGTTGTTTCTCAATTGCATATTACAATATGAACCAAATCGATTATACGACAACGTCACCACGTTTTTCAGTGACTGATAACAAACAATTAGATGAAGGCTTTACCTATTTGAACGCACATGGCTATGTTGTTATTAGTGATGTTATGAGTCAAGATGAAGTTAATATGAATAAAGAATTATTATGGAAATTTATCGAAAGCGTTTCTAATAGTACCATCAAACGTGATGATCCAGAAACATGGTGAAATCCATGGTAAATACAATTAGATTTCTATGCAAAATAATGGAAATTTGATTTTTCTAGGCCAAGTTTCAGTTCTCATGGTGTTATCAATGGACTTGGTATTGGTCAATCAGAGTTTCTATGGAGTGTTCGATCGAATCGCCAAGTCAAAAATATTTTTGCACGTTTATGGAATACTCGTCAATTGCTTGTATCATTCGATGGATGTGGTGTCTATCGAGATTGGCGTTACAATTCGACTTGGAAAACAAATGACAGTTGGGATCATGTAGATCAAAATCCGAAATTGAAGCCCGATCGTTGTTGTATTCAAGGTATTGTGTCATTGACTGATCAAAATCAACGAATAAGTGGTCTTATTGTGTATCCACGTACACATTTACGGTTTACTGAATTATGGGATATAACTAAGAATTCGAGGGATTTTGTTCAAGTATCTTCTGATCATGCGATTACCCTAGTGAAACTACTCGTCAAGCGAGTACGACCTGCCAGCATGAGTACACAAAAGACTCGTTGTAGTACTCGTGGAATTTTCTGTGTATCTTTAATGTTCGTGTACTCAAGTGAGTACTTGCATAAGTTAACTTTCTGAAATTCACTCGTATACGATAGTCTGAGTACTCAAAGTAGTACTCGCTTCTGTGTTTCGATAAAACACCAATGCACTAACATGTAAAAAGTTAAATTACATTGTATAAAAACAAAATGTGACGAAATCAACTAAAAAAATATTAAAATAATATTTCGTGGATATTTTCATTCTATCCTTCAGTTTTAATGGATGATTCATTTTTGTCCATACAGCGATTGGATATATCAAATCACTATATTTCACTTTGTGAACAGAAAGACAGACTGACACATCATTTTCAACTGCTCGTTTTTCGAATAAAACTAAGTATCTATTTTCAATGTAACAATAATTTGATAACTTTTAATTTCTAAATTTCAGATTAAGTTTTATTTTAGATTAGTTAAGGTTTTTTCTGGTTACTAAATAGCATCAATGATTCATGTCATGTAGTTTTTTTTTGTGTAAGGATCGCTTTAACATAGATTTGTTTTCATACACGAATCAAATCAAAAATTCATTTAAAAATTTTTTAATTAATTGTTTGTGCTACTCGTGAGTATACTGTATTGTAACAAATTTCAATATTCTTTTTTCTGTAGTTTTTTGTATCTGTGAATTCATAGTGATCAAATATCTTTTTCGAAAACATTGAGAATTCATTGGTCTTAATAATATTTTATTATCTTCAATATGTGTGTTAAGTGTTATTTTTTGAAATATAATATTTATTTGTGTAATTAATAGACAATAAAATAATGAAGTATCTTAGTATTATAAATCATTTCATTGCACTAATTTACTATTGTTGATAGGTTAACGAAATAGAGTTCATTTAGTATTAAAATATAGTGAACAAAGTATAGATGCATGAATAAATGTTGTAAAAAGCTACCAGAGTACTCGGAAGATAAGTGGGTAGTACTCATAGAAAACTCAGTTTTATGAGGCGAGTACTCAGTAGTCGTACTAAACCAGTCAAAATCTAGCTCGAGTACTACTGATGAGTACTCAAACCCCATGAGTACTCATGAGTACTCGTGACATTTTCTAGCGTGAGTACTTTTTGAGTACTACCCTATGAGTACCTTCACTAGGGTATGGATCAAGGCCGAACACGTGGTAAACTCGTTCATTATCACGCAGGTGATCTTATCCTTTTTGATGGTCGTCTTGTTCACTGTAATTCACCTGCTACTGCTATTGAAGAACGACGTCCAAATGAACATGTTGACCTATTACATTACGTATTGCTGTATATGTGATTATAAGCCCAACGATATTCGTTCATAGTCAAACCCTTGATGAGTTTCGAGAAAAACGAAAACAATTGGTAAAAAATAACTGTACTACAACACATTGGAGTACAGAATTGGTTTTATCACGTAAGGTTTTTTTTTTTGATGAAACATAATCTTGATATAATTTTTATCTCAAATTCTTTTCAGTTGGCAATCATACTGACCCACCTAAATTATCATTGGATAGGTTCGATGCCTATCAAAAAGCTTTAATTTTTGGGACCGACGACGAGAATGATTTTTGTCTTCCATAATTATAAACTATATCTAATAAAAACTAAATTCGGAATTTTTCACTATAAATTTTATAGCTCGTCAATAATTTTGATCGACTAATGATTTCAGACTTAAACTAGAATTGATTTAGTAGAAATGAAAGCACTAAGACCAATCATAGATGCAATTTTTTTTCTGTATTGTTCGTTCCACTATTATTTTCAATTAGATTGAGAGTAACTTGCTTGATCAATTGAGGGTGTGCGTAGGAGAGTGAGGGATGTGCATTATTGAAGCACTTGCATCCTCGCACACTTCGTACTCACAGTCACGCCCATAGTCGAACCGTTCTCAAGATATTTAGTTATCAATATGCAGCTTTTTCAATTGATCAAAAACAGTTTATTTTCAGAACATGAGCCTTTATATTAAACATGTATAAACAGATTTCGTCAATACATCATCTTAAATTGAACAAAGTTGACTGCCTTTTACCTAGACTGGTTCATGTATGAAATAGAATGAATATGAAATGAGATTCAGGAGAAGTAATGTATCGATTGAAACATAGATAACAAGTCTATGTAGATGAATGCAATTTATAAATGCATAAATATGCCCAAAAACTAAAAGTCAATAGGCATACCTGCAAACGCTGAAAATATTTGTGACAGTGCCTTTAAATTATTACTAATTAAAACTGCCGAAGTACATTTTATCTCCTCCCATTACGTATATTTATATATAAATAAAATGAAAGAGACATAAGTCTATATTAGATTACAAAAGGTGTGGGCATAAGAAAAGAAACACCCACACCCACACCCTCACCCACACCCACACCCCTCAAGAATCAAAATTAAATGATCACTGTTTTATTTCACATATGTTTAACGATTGAAATTATGAAATAAGGAATAATTGTCTTATCGAACCGTAACTAAATCGATCTACACATAGAAAATTCCAATAATAAAACATTCTCCTAGAATCAGATTGCGTGTGGTTGTCTTGTATTACATTTATCCACACCTACACCTACACCCTCGCATGTAAGCGAACATTCTACCACTTAGTTGCACGCTCGTTAATCAATTGGTGTGGGTTTGTTGATCTTCGCTTCACGCCCATAGCCAACTCATATTTGTCTGATTTTCTGCTAAATTGAAGTGATTACCAAATCTAAAAACCGGTTGTCCTATTTATATCTCACTGCCAATGGGGTGAAATATTATGTAGTAATAATCATTTTACATTATCAACCTCAAACACATTGCTTCTAGTAACTCATACCAACTACTAACTAGAAAAAAAACCTCGTCAAGAACGAGAACAATATTTATTCTGTTATGATTTTTCGATACTTTTCTTTCTTTCGAAGACGACGTATTCGTTTTGTTGTTGATGTTTAATACAGACTCATTTTCTGCACTAGTGAAGCAAAAGATAAGAAATCCTTCAGTAAAAAAATATACGCTCTAGTGACAACTAACCAAAAAAGCATTAACAAAAGAAAGAAAGATATTCTATCTAAAGAGACTAACGTGCTTCATCGTATTTCCTGCTTCCAGCAAGTATTCATTTATTCATTGCTTTAATCTATTGTTATTAGATCACGACCATTCGTCTGTAACGTACAGTGTGGGTATGAGTGAAAAGAAAGTAACACTCGCACTCATTTACCATACAAACGATACAAAAAATTTTCATTTAGTAGATCTCTTTTTGAAAGTCGATAGTGCCAATTCCTTTTCTTATAGATAAAAATGTCTCATTCGCAACTGTATTTCTATATAAAAACATAATCGTTGCAGTGTTTTGATGTCATGCATTGTAAAATTATGGAATTTTTTCAAGATTTTGATGTTATACTCATACTAACACCCACGTCCAGACTCATCATTTTCATTTTGAAGCCAGGCTACCTGTTTGAGTATCAATAAAATACATTTACTGATAATTGAGAAGAAAACCTTTGTTAAAATATAGCAGAATTGCCGTCGGATGGCGTTCATTCATGTGTCTTTTCAGGTTAACGACGCATCACACATATGATTTGTTCACATTGAGTACAATTAACTATAATCAATCAATATGGGTTGTGGTGCATCAGAACTATCAAATTCTCTTGACAATCATTCCCATTCTGATACTAAAGCAACAGTAATACCATCATCGCCCTCTAATTTATTAAATCAGCGATTCGATTCAAATCGCATTGTTCCAAAACCGGATAATCGAACTGATACAAATGAAATTATCCAAAATTTTCGTTTGATTTGGCTTGACAAAAATATCGATGAGTTAAGCGACGACTATATCAATTCTATCAAACAACTACGACGAACAATAAATACTATTGAAATATTCCATGATACAAATGAATGTATGGGTTACCTGTCACAAATACAAAACGAAAAGTTGTTCCTCGTTGTTTCGGGCGCTCTTTGTAAAAGTTTTGTGCCACGTATTCATGATAAGATACAACTAAATGCAATTTATATCTTTTGTCGACAGCAAGAAAAATATGAAGAATGGGCAAAAGACTGGCCCAAAGTAAAAGCTATTTTTACCGAAATTACCTCACTTTGCGATATGGTTCGACAATCTGCTCGACAATGTGACCAAAATGATATTGAAATTAAGGGTGTGTCGTCACTAAATCAAATCGAACCAGCGTTTATGTATACACAACTCTTGAAAGAAATTATTCTTGAAATCGATTTCGACGAACAGAAAGAAATTAGCAATCTAGTCGAATATGCTCGTAAAGAAAAGGAGTATGTCAACAGCAAAGAACAATTGAAGCTTATTGATGAGTTTGCTGCCGACTATCACAAAAGTGTCGACAAGAACAAAGCTATTCGATGGTACAGTCAACAATGTTTCACGTATCAATTAGTCAAAAAAGCTTTACGCTCCCTGGAAGTACACACTTTACTCATAATGGGGTTTTTCATTCGTGATGTTCATCGAAACATCGAGAAACTTCATTTAGAACAGTCGGAATTAATTCATCCATCTGATACTACAACAATTACTGTATTTCGAGGTCAAACTATGAACAAGGCCGATTTTGAAGGGAATATAAAACAAGATGGACTCATATCTTTTAATAATTTTCTATCGACAAGTGAAGATCGCCGTGTTGCCATTAGTTTTACAAGCGATCTGAATAAAATAGGTGTTCTCTTCGAAATGACTATCAATCGGTCGGTTTCACGCACTCGATTTGCCCGTATCAGCGAAGTTAGTTGGTATCCAAACGAAAAAGAGGTTCTCTTCGCAACACATTCAGTTTTTCGTGTCCAACAAATCGAAGAAATTCAGGCGAATGGAACTACCATATGGCAAGTTAAACTTACACTCACCAGTGACAGTGATGACGAACAGCTTAATATTCTTACCAAACGAATGCGAACAGAGATCACTGGAACAGGATGGGAACGAATGGGTTCATTATTATGGAAGCTAGGTGAGAACGACAAGGCAGAACAGGTGTACACAATGTTACTGGAACGGACATCCAATGAGAGCGATCAAGCGGATTATTACCATGCGCTTGGGCTGATGAAAGAAAACCTAGGACAATACAATCAGGCCATCGAGTTTTACGAAAGAGCACGCGATATCAGCGAGAAAACTCTCCATCCGAATCATCCCAACTTGGCTCATTCTTACAACAATATCGGTAGTGTGTATTCTGGCATGTGAGAGTACTCGAAAGCATTGTCATCACATGAACGATCACTTGATATCCTGAAAATAGCTCTTCCTCCGAATCATCCCAACTTGGCTAGTTCCTACAACAACATCGGTAATGTGTATTCTGACATGGGCGAGTACTCGAAAGCACTTTTATCACATGAACGATCACTTGAAATCCGAAAAATAGCTCTCCCTCCGAATCATCCCGATTTGGCTCATTCTTACAACAACATTGCTAGTTTGTATAACAGCATGGGTGAGTATTCAAAAGCACTCTTATTTCTCGAGAGAACACTTGTTATCTTCGAAAAATCACTGGCTTCAAATCATCCGCATATTGCCCTGGTAAAACGAAACATGGAAAAAGTAAAAAAGAAAATTTGATTGTTTTTTTTAAATGAGAAAATAAATTTAGCTTCTTGAACACTTGAGGATGTGGGTGTCGGTGTGGATGTGATTATTCTGCTCATATACACTACGGTCACACACACACCCCATACCATACACGAAATAGACTGTTACTAGACAGATTTAAAATGTGACGAATCAAATGTATGGTCTACGACATTTGAAAAGCTTAACATTGAATCCGAACTTAAACTAAATATTCTCTCAGGGCAAGTAGGCATTGAAGAAAAAGGCAAATACTTGAAAACAGCCAACAAAAGCGAAGAAATTGATCGAATCGTTCTCTCATGTATGTATCAGGTCAAACAACAATTGGTAGATATTGCTTTCAAGAGCGTTAATAAATCCATCTGCCCAATGGCATTCGCAGATAAATCCACAACACATGTCATCACAGGGATTTTGTGGGGTGCTAACGTGTTTGCTACTTTTGATCTCCATAAGACGACCGAAAATAAACAACTCAACGTTTTGGAAAAATTGATAGCATCAATACGAAAATGTATGGTACTACTCAAAACTGACAGAGATGTCGAAGCTGAGTTTCAAGATCAAGATAGCCTTGTACATAACCAACTCAGCATCCATTTTTCAGGAGATATAGAAATGGAACAAATTTCAGCCACGTTTCTTGAAACCGTAGCTATGATCTCAAATATTCCGACTAATGTAAAAAAATGAATCATGGCCATGGTGTTCAAATCGAATATACTTTCAGTCTAATTGAAGACATAACTCGTTACTTAAGTGATAGACTTCAGTCTCCATTCAAACGGATCATTATTATTAAAAGCAGTGAGCAACTAGTTCAGGGTGTGGGTGTGGGTGTTTGTGTTAGTGAAACTTTTTATTCAATACATTCACACTGATACTCAAACCCACACTCCACCCTCAAGATAGTTTTCAATCTATCAGGATAACTATAAACGTATACATCTATTCAAATGGGGAAAAGGAAAGATGTCCTTCACGTGAGTTGAACAGCTATTATATCGGCAACAAAAATGAAAAGTTTAGGTGGAATGCAGACGTTGTATTATAAGAGCTATTTGTTGCGAAGCTTTTGAAACCTTTGCGTCACTTGGGCATTTTATTAATGTAGAAAATTATCTATAAGGTGAAGGAGTTATATTGTAAAACGATCCATTTTTTTACCTGAACATCTGAATTCCGTTCAAAATATTTATTTATCTCACGGATTAAATTGTTGTCCAACGCTCATTCATATACGGGTTTTTTTTTACAGTGTATACAGAAATACGATCGCTTACAGACAAATAAATGCTTATCATGATTTCTATGCGTAGAGATCATGCATATATCTCATTTTTACTTCCTATTTACGTGTATGTGATCACATTTCTTCATATACAGTGTATAGATATACGATCGTAATATTGTATCATGAAAATTTCAAATATTGATCACATATAAACTCTCGATACTTCATCCTGAGCTATTATCAAATACTTTTTAAGTAGTATTTATCGTGTGACAAAACCTGGTTTACACATTAGAACAACAAGTTATTTTTAGATCAGCACTTTGACGTGAGTATGGTAATCATCCGTTTTCGAACAATCGATACTTATTCGAGATATCCACATAACATTAATTTGAAGAAATTGCTTCAAAAATGAGCTGAGAATGTATCAGGACCAAAGACCCTAGTGATATAAGAATTAAAGTGCTTTCTGGAAAGCTCAAATTTCAAAACTCTTGTACACGACGTCATTGTTCGATTATTTTGTATTCTACCGATAGAAGAAAATGTATTAGTTTCGTGCAGAACCGCAAGGGAAATCTTTTGAGAAAAATTCATATTTGAATAATAAAAGATAATCAGAGTTCGATACTGATTCTTAAGCAAATAAAATGATATGGATTTTTTAGGACATCAAATTAATAACTCGATATACCTCTTTTGGAAAAAAACAAAAACATTTTCGTCATCTTTTTCATTCGTTCATCACTATCGAGTCTCTGTACTGATTCTCTTTCCCTTCGTCAAAAATTGATCCAGAAGGGCATTAAACATTAACAAAGGCTGTAAATATTATCATCGACGAGAAAAGGGAGATATCCATGTAAATACAAGCTAGTCTTCCAATATTGTTATAACATCCATTTCAGTTTTACATTAAAAAGTCTACTCGTCTCTTTAGAATTTTCGACTATGGATGAAGAAAAGTCAAAGCAAATGCCTATTCCTTCGAATGATAGTAGACGTACAATTGAAGTACAATCGAACAATGTTGTCGTAAGACCAGTCAAATTATTACAACAGCGCATCGTGCAGAATTTTCTTATTGTCTGGGTAGATCCGACCATCGATGAATCGAACAAAGATTGTCAGAATTCGATTTCTCAACTACGTCGTATTATCAATACAATCTATTTATTTACAGAGATTGATGAGTGTGTGGATTTCCTTTCAGAAATACATGATGAAAAAGTACTTATGATTGTCTATTGTACTTTTGCAGAGCAGATATTGCCTTGCATTAATGACATGCAGCAACTAGATTCGATCTATATTTTATGTAACAATAAAGCGCAACATGACCAATGGATAGCAGATTGGTCTAAAGTGAAAAGTGTCTTTACCCAAATCAATCAAATCTATGAATCACTTAAACAAGGTGCACGACGATGTGATCAAGACTCGATTTCATTCAGTATAATTTCAACAAATGAAGTAGCAAACAAAAATTTGGATCAACTCGATTCATTGTTCATGTACACGCAACTATTCAAAGAGATCGTACTTGAAACTGAATATGGCGAACAAGACATCATAGAGTTCGCTGAATACTATCGTAATATTAATGTTAACAACGATCATGTATCGAATAACGTCGATACGTTTAAGCTGGAATATCATGTTCGTTCGCCTATCTGGTGGTATACGTCTCAAAGTTTTCTATATCCGATGCTCAATCGTGCATTGCATCTCCAAGAAGTTGATACAATTATTAAAATAGGATTCTTTATCAAAGATCTTTATCGTCACATCGAACAACTTCATTCTGCACAAAAGGATGCACTTCAAGGATGGCTATTTACAGTGTACAGAGGACAAGTTATGACAACAGTGGATTTTGAAAAAGTCCACAAAACAAAAGGAGGACTTATCTCGTTTAACCAGTTTTTGCCGACGAGCATCGATCGAGACGTTTCTATTATGTTTGCCGAAAGCAATCCGAAACAACTAAATACAATAGGAATCCTTTTTGAAATAACAATTGATCATTCGATTTCATCAGTGTCATATGCCTCTATTGACAAGGTTAGTCGCTTTCAAGAAGAAAAAGAAATTCTTTTCTCAATGCACACTGTTTTCCGCATTGGTGAAATTAAACAAATAGGCAACAACGAACGATTATGGCAAGTGAATCTCAAACTGACGGCAGACGACGACGAATTACTTGGTGCCCTCACTGAAAGAATGAGAGAGGAAACTCGAGGACCAACAGGATGGTATCGATTAGGTACATTATTAGCTAAACTAAATCAATTTGACAAGGCTGAAAAAGTATACATGCTATTGCTTGATTCAAAATCCAACGATGCCATAAAAGGATCTCTCTATAATCAACTCGGATATATCAAGCATTGTCAGAGCGACCATAGAATGGCAATTATGTTTTACGAAAAATCATTTCAAATCTTCCAAGAAACACTCTCATCAGATCATCCAGATTTGGCTACTTTCCACAACAACATCGGTTTGGTGTATGAAAACATGGGAGAGTATTCGAAAGCACTTTCGTTTTACGAAAAAGCAGTTGACATCTACCATAAAACTCTGCCTTAAAATTATCCAGATTCGGCTATTACGTATAATAATATCGGATCAGTGTACGAAAAAATGGGAGATTATTTGAAATCGCTTTGTTCTCATGAAAAAGCATTAGAAATGCTACAGAAAACACTTCCTCAAAATCATCCCAGTTTGGCGAATTCTTACAGCAACATCGGTTTGGTACACATGAGTATGGGAGAGTACACGAAAGCAATTTTGTGTTACGAAAAAGCACTTGAAATCCGTCAAAAAATATTTCCTTCCAATCATCCAGATTTAGCTACCTCGTACAACGATATGGGTCTCATAAATGCCAAAACGGGAGAATACTCGAAAGCACTTTCGTTTTACGAAAAAGCAGTAGAGATGTACGAAAATGCTCCGTCTCCAGATCACCCCAATTTGGCCATTTCCTACAACAACATCGGTTAGGTGTATGAAAGCATGGGAGAGTACATCAAAGCACTTCCCTTTTACGAAAAATCACTAAAAATCAAGCAAAACATATTTCCTTCGAATCATCTCAGTTTTGCCACTTCTTACAATAATATCGGTTCAGTATATTGTGATATTGGTGACTACTCATGAGCACTTGAATATTACGAAAAAGCCCACAAAATCAAAGAAAAAACACTCCCTTCAAATCATCCCAGTTTGGCTGCTTCCGACAACAATATCGCTTTTATGTATCAAAAACTAGGACACTATTCGACTGCACTTTCGTTTTATGACAAAGCAATTGAACTAATGAAGAAAGCACTCCCTTATAATCATCCCGATTTTGCTAGTTCCTACAGCAACGTCGGCTCAGTGCATATGAGCATGGGACAGTATTCGACAGCACTTTTGTTTTATGAAAAAGGGAATCAAATCCACGAAAGCACATTTCCTGTAAGTCCTCTCCATTTAGCTTCTGACTACGCCAATATCGGCTCAGTGCATAAAAGCTTAGGGGACTACTCGAAAGCACTTGCTTATTATGAAAAATCACTTAAAACCTATCAAAAAACACTCCATTCATATCATCCCGCGTTAGCTACTTCCTATGACAACATCGGCTAGGTATATTACAAACTGGGAGAGTATTCGAAAGCACTTTCGTCTCTTGAAAAAGCGCTTGAAATCCGCGAAAAAGTACTATCTCCCAACCATTCTGATTTGGCTAGTTCCTACAACAATATCGGCTGGGTGTACATGAATACGGGAGTGTATGCATATGCACTTTCGCTTTACGAAAAAGCCATTGAAATCCAAGAAAAAACACTATCCTCTGATCATCCCGATTTAGCTACTGCCTACAACAATATCGGTACGGTGTATAAAAAAATTGAGAGAATATGAGAAGGCACTTTTTTACTATGAAAAAGCACGTGAAATATTGCAAAAAACACTTATTCCAAATCATCCGGACTTGGGTGCTTTGTACAATAACATCGGATCGCTTTATAACGACATGGGGGACTACTTGTGCGCACTTTCATTGTTCCAACGCGCTCTTGAAATAGTTCAATGTTCACTCCCTCCTAATCATCCATATATTGAAATTGTTCGAAAAAGTGTTGAAAATGCAATAAATAAATCAAATGAATAAGTGGGAAGGTAACGATAAGGTTAGGCTAGGGTGTACAAATGACGGCGATGAGGACTGGTGTATATTAGAGTCCTGCAATCAGACCGAAGAACTAGTTCGGGTTGCATGTAAAAATTTGTCGGGTTTTATTTTCTGACAACATATGTTGCTGCTCGCTATTGATTTTCGGATTTTATACACCCAGAAAAATGAAAAGGAAATCCGCTGGATTATACGTATTGAAAAGAATGCATGAATGAATACTTGCGAACGTTTTTTGTTCATAACAAGTAGACATTTGTTTTTTGATATTTTAATTCTTTTTCTGATTATTGGAAATAAATGTCAAAGAAAAAAATTAACAAATTATTGGAAGAGAAAAATATACCACATTAGATAAATCTCAATGGAATACGCTATACTGGAAGAATTCCAATCGAATTATAGATAAAAATGGTAAAATAATTAACTATGTACAATGTGTAAAATGTAAGAATTTACTTACATATAGCCATTTAAAAGTACCGATTCAAGTACAATTAAAACTCATGCATCTACATGTAAAAGTTCACCTTCTTCGATATGTACCATCGAAGATATGCTTGTCAAAAATTCTAGTATTCTTTCAGATGCTAAAGTTGAGGGTGTGGGTGTGGATGTGGTTTTAGGTCAAGTGCATATTCACACATACACGCACATTCACACCCTATCAAATGGTATACAGCTTTTTTTTACATTCAGTTGTATTTTGATAAAAATATAAGAAGAAATTTTTCTAAAATGACTCATTTCGATGAGGGTGATCACGCCTTATATTATATCTCAGCAATGCAACGACATCTGGACGTGATATTTTAGATTTAGTATATTAACACCATGATCTTTGAAACCAAATAAGAAAGATCAAAATTGGAAAGATACCTCCGAACGGTCACTATGCATTTGGTCTATCCTGTGGCGAAATCTCTCTTTTTAAGTACTGTCAAAGTAAAAAAAAAATTTATTAAGTTGACATTCTTAGTTATTATTGCTTCGAAACCATTGCAGCTGGCTCTTATCTAATCTACGTTAAATACGCCTACAAATTGAGAGTCAAAAAGGCTCGTATACTCTGATAGGTGAGTATGCATTTCGATATTAAATTTCATTTTTGCCATTTTGAAGTAAATATAAACATTGTTAATTTTTTTTATGTCTCGAAAAATTCAAAATGAAAATTAATTGAAGTGGATCATGACTATAGATTTTGTGCCATAATTACTTTATTTTTGAATTTACAAGTCTATCACTGATACAGATGAATTTATTGTACATCCTAGAAACTGTTAGATGTAAAATAAACATGAAGTACATTATTACTTTTGGTAATTATGAGAATATATATCGATTACAGGACTAGTTATAAAATCTGTTTATCATTATGAAGGTTTTCCAATTCAAACAATAACACGACATAATGTAGAGAGATACAATAAAATCTGAAAATATTTTTCAAATAAACATAATCAATGGTTTTTATTTCACCATAGAGTTTCGATAAGTCTTAGACTTGCAGAGCTTCCAAAAAAGGATTATGAATGGCTTATCAGCATTTTATTTGTTCTGAAGAAAGAGTATTATTGCCATCTATCAAATATTCTTGAATATATTGAGTACCCTGAAATGAGTTAATTCACTTGATGAAAATTGACTTCTCTTTTAATATTGCGAGACTTTTAAGAGTTTTATTCAGCATAAAATCATTTTAATATTAATTTTAACAGACTAAAGTCGATGTTATTGAATTTAAATTTTGAAAAATGAACTTTAAGATAATAGAACAGTTTTGTACTTCAACTGTTTTATATCAATGGTTTGTATACTTATTTTCCACTGCAAATGTCCTTTCGTTCGAATCTAAATTTATCGAATTTTCATTTCTTAAATTTTAAATACTTCTAATTTAAAAAGTGAAAAAAACGACGTGTATTACTTTTACGTCGATCGCTTCATAATGTTCAGTTTGTTAGATAGGACATTTGTTTAACCCGTCAGTATTAACGTGTTCGGAACGACGAAGAAATGCGTTTTTTCGCAGAAATTTATTCCATATTTATGTATTGGAAGATAAATTCTCACAATCTTACGTACTTGACATACTGTAGCGAGTGTATAGATCGATTGGGCACTAGAAGTAATGTGAGTGTTACTTTGAATGATTCCATCGTATTTCGTCATTTTAGTACCATTTCATTCTGCATGTTTAATGGGAAATATTTAGAGTTTTTATTTATATAGATATAAATACGAGAGAGTTGCTGTGAAGATACTAAATGAAGACTGAATCGCTTACTATCGATACCAATTGTTCTATACGACAATCAAATTTTTTCTTTAACAGAAGAATGCCATTTAGTTAATGATGAAAATCTTGAAGAACTATCAATTATATGGCTTGATTCAGATATTTCTAAGACTGATGATTGTTTAGGAATGATTAGTGCATTACGTTTTATTATTAATGATTTACATACATTTGATGATATTACTGAATGTAAAAATTATATCAGTTCGATTAGAACAGATGAAAAAATTCTTTTTATTGTCTCCGGTCAATTAGGTGAAAAAATTATACCGGACATATATGAGTCACCAAAAATTGTATCAATTTATATATTTTGTCGAAATAAAACAAAACATGAAACATGGTCTAAGGAATATAAAGCTAAGATACAAGGTGTTTTTAATGATAAAAGTTTACTCTACTCGAAACTTATATCAGATGTTAAAGTGCAACTACGAAATTTTTTGTCAATAAGTGTATTGAGTGAAAATGTCAAACAAAAATCGATCATAGATCTAAATAGACAAAGTGTGTCTTTTATATGGTTTCAATTATTGATTGGAATTTTGATTCATTTGAAACATGATGAAAATGCCAAAGATGAAATGGTAAATGCATGTCGAAAACAATATAAAGGTAATTCATGTAGAACAGAACAAATCGAAAAGTTTTCTGTAGAATATAAACCTGATAGAGCCATTGAATGGTATTGTAAAGATAGTTTTGTTTATCGTCTTTTAAATCGAGCACTACGTACAGAAAATATTGATATTATATATAAATTTCGGTTCTTTATTACCGATCTTCATTATGGATTGAGCCAATTACGTTGGCAATGCTCGAATCAACCAATAGAAGTCTATCGTGCACAACAAATGTCAATAAATGAAATAAAAATATTAGAAGAAAATCAAAATGGTCTTATTTCGGTAAATAATTTTTTTTCAACAAGTAAATCCTATATGAATGCCGAAGGATTTGTCGATAGTGGGACATTTAACTATCCGAAGGTTGTTTTTACAATTAAAATCGATAATTCAATTGGTAATGATCAGATATTTACTACCATTGAAGATTTGAGTAATTATGATCAAGAAAAAGAAGTCTTATTTACTATTGGTACAGTATTTCGTGTTGTTTTTGTTGAACAAGTTACTGACACATACTGGTCTGTTGAATTATCATTAGACAAAAAAATCAATGTTGAACTAAAGCATCTTATAGATAATTTTGAGGAAATGATTGGTGAAAAACCGACAGTCGCTCATTTAGGTAATGCTCTATTTTTTATGGGTGATTATAACAGAGCTGAAAAATATAACAGAGCTTTACTTGGACAATTGCCACCAAAGCATGATTATATATTATTAGTTAACATTAATATAGGAGATGCTTATTTAAATAGAGGAGATTATCCTATGGCATCAGAATTTTATGATAAAGCTCTCTCAATAGCAACCGATTTACAACCAAACCCTCATATTTATCTTGCTCTAACGTATAGTTCTATTGGATTGTTAAATGATAAATTAAGTAAATATGATGAAGGAATCGAATGTTTGACGAAAGCACGTGATATTAAATTGAAATATATATCATCAGACAGTCGAGATATGATTTGTATATACAATAATCTTGCGATGACTTATAGACATAAAGCTAATTATAGAAATTCATTAGAATATTATAAGAAAATACTTCATATTAAATCATCATTCTATGGTTTAGATCCAACATTAGCTTCGATGTATAATAATATAGCATTGGTTTATACTGAATTAAATGATAATGATGAGGCATTATCTAATTATATGAAGGCATTAGAAATTGAACTTAAATTTCTTCCTTCGAATCATGATAAGATTGGCACGACATATAATAATATTGGTTTATTATATAGAAATAAACTTCATTATAATGAAGCATTGAGTAATTATGAAAAAGCTCGTGAAATATTTTTAAATAGCTTAGGAAAAGATCATCTCAATATTGCATCTGTTGACCACAATATTGGAGATATTTATTATAAAATTGGTCAATTTGATAAAGCATTCGATTATTTTAAAGAAGCCATTGATATTCAATCGAAATTGCTTTCAGACAATCATGTCGATCTTGCAAAATCATTTAATAGCATGGCAGCAATTTATTGTCAAAAAGAAAATTATGCTGAAGCACTTGATTATTGTAAAAAGGCACATGATATACAAACGAATTGTTTACCCAAGAATCATCCTGATTTAGCTGCAACTTATATTAACTATGGTACAATTAACTTAAAATCAAATAAATATAGTGAGGCATTGAAATACTATGAAGATTCTCTCGAAATTATGTTAACACTATATAAAGATGATCATTGTGATCTTCAATCGACTTATGATGCTATCGGAGAAATTTATTTGTCAATTGAAAACTACGAAAAATCAATTGAATATTATGAAAAAGCGCTTAAGATTCAACTGAAAATGTTACCTCAAACAGAGAATGAAGTACGTTTAACATTCAGTTGTTTAGGATCAGCTTATAGTAAACAAGGTAATTATTCGGAATCAATAAAAAATTTTGAAAAAGCATTGCAAATTCGTTCAAAATCAGAAAATCAACTTGAAATAGCGAGCATATTTTCATCTATGGGATTTAATTATCAAAACCAACGTAACTATTCTGAAGCGTTGAGATATTATGAAAAAACAATTGAAATTCATTCAAATCTATTAACAACGTTTTATCGTAGTCAAGCAGTAACTAATAATAATATTGGAAACGTTTATTTTGATCAAAATAAATATCCTGAAGCACTGGAATATTTCAAGATTTCTCTCAATATGCAAATGAAATATTTCGAAACAAATTATTCAGATCAAATTCATATTTATTATAAAATAGGTCATACTTATAGAAAACTAAAAGAATATGATAATGCAATTATTAATTATAAAAAAGCACTTGAGATTCAAACAAATTATCTATCATTAAATGATGATAAATTTGCAAAAACATTTTATTATATTGGATATACATTCTACGAACAGGAAAATTCAGCCAATGCATTGGATTACTTTAATAAAGCATTAGAAATTCAATTAAAATATACTGATATACACTCTGAAGATCTATCAATAACATATAATAATATAGCTGGTGTATATTTAAGAGATAAAAACTATGACAAAGCTATTTTTAATGCCAATGAGTCGATGAAATATTGTCCTAAAAATCATGAATTATCAATTGCATCGTACGATATAATAGGTATCATATATTTAGAACAAAAGCAATTTCACAACGCTCTAGATGCTTATTCAGAAAAGATTAATATTATGAAAGATATATCGTATGAAAATCGTTTAGAATTATCAAAAACTTATCATAATATAGGAATGATGCACTTTTACGAATTGAATTATGATCTAGCTCTTGCTAATTTTCAACAAGAACTTGATATTGAATTAGAAATACTTGAATCAACTCATCCGAATCTTGCTGTTACATATCATCACATTGCTCGAGTTTATGGCAAAAAACAAAATTCTAAGAAGAAATTAGAATATTTTCATAAAGAATTGAATATTCGTTTGACAACACCACAATTGAATTATTCCGATTTAGCAGCTAATTATCATAATCTTAGTCTGACATATTACGAACTATTAGACTTCGTTGGTGCATTCAAAATGAATGAAGAAGCACTTAAAATAGCTTGTGAACATTTGTCAAATGATTATGAATTTCTCATAACATTATACTGTGATGCAGGTGCGATGTATTTCACAGAGAAAGATTATGATAAATCACTCGAAATTTATGAAAAAGCAATTGAAATAGGATTAAATTATTTGCCTGTTGACGATGTCAATCTTAAAAATATTTACGAAATTCTTGATGAAATTTATTATAAAAAAAATAATTTGATTGATCTTTCATCTAAGAATATTTCACAAACTAAACAATTTACTTCATTAACATATTATACAATTGGAAATATTTTCAATAAAATGAACAACTATGAACGAGCACTTGAGTTATATCAAAATGCTCATCAAATTGAATTGCAAATGTTATCAACAAATCGTTTGTATATTGAAAAATATCAAGACAGTATTGCACAGGCAAAAACAAATCTTACAAAATCTACATTGGAATAATTATAAGAATTTTTCTTATATAGTCATAAATTCTTCTACAATTCTATTTCAAAATTCTCATGATCATTAACTGTGGGTATGGGTGTGAGCATTTGGCTGTGAGACGAGGAGGGCTGGCAAAGATCCAGAAAAAGTCCACTTTACCTAAAGTCCTGTGAAAAGTCCTTCACCCTCAATCTAAAGTCCCGCCATAGGACCTTACTGGTGGCGGCACCTGTCCATGGGACTTTTCGAAGAAAAGTGACATTTTCTCGGAACTTTGCCACTGCTGTTTTAGTGTGGGTTCACTTAACTCACACATCACATCTATCTGCAAAGAACATAAATGCTACGATTTTAAGTAAGTAAACAAAATATGTTCTGTAAAATGTTTTTGAAATGGTCGTGCATGATATAACTCACACCTTACTCCTCCTGTTCTTCTCTTTTCATCATAATGTATGAAAAATAAGAAAAAATATGTGAAAGGCATTGAAAAAAGTTGAGAACGATTGCTTTGCTTCTGTTTCTCCGATAGAGAACTTAAAAGACGACTACAGCATGCAGCAATAGAGTGAAGAAACAAATTGCAATGGCATTAACTTTGACGAATAACTCCATGGCAACTCTCTCAAGTAATGATGCATGCACATGCAGTTATAATCTTGAAGCATTTTCCCTTATTTGGCTCGATTCTAATGCAAATAATGATGAACAAAATCATGATGCCCAACAAAAACTACGTAGCATTATCAATACTATCAAGACATTTGATGATAGCAAAGAATGTCAGCAATATATAGAAAAAATGTCGAAAGATGATCGACTGATACTCATCGTTAGTGATCAATGGGCACGAGAATTTGTACCTCGAATTCATGAATTTCGTCACGTTTCGTTCATAGCACTGTATTTCACAAAGAAAAGTATAGAAAAAGAATGGATTAAAGAGTTCAAAAAGGTGACTGCGTTAGCATTATGTTATAATTCGTTTAGATTTAGTGTTTTTATAGGTCAGAATTGTCACTAATCGGCTCGATGAGCTTATTTCTGGAATTCAATCAACTCAGAAATGTCGACTGAAAATCGAGACTCCTTTGCCAATGAATATTTTTAGAACTGACAGCGTAATAGATCAGTCGACAACAGAACTAAACGGTCAATTCATTCATGCGCAACTCCTTATAGACTGTTTTCTTAGGATGGCGACTGGTGAAAAAGAAAAACAGCAGTTTATTTCTCTATGTGAAAGTCAATACAAAGATAGTAGAAGTCAAATAGCCATTATTGAACAATTCAAAAACACCTACTCACCTGATCGAGCCTTATGGTGGTATACCTGTGAATCATTCTTATACAAAATGTTAAATAAAGCGTTACGCGTTCAAAATATTGATGTCTTGTTTTTGTTTCACTGGTTTATTCGTGATCTTCATCAACAGTTGGAGAGTTGTCGATGCCATTATCGAGTTCGAGTGTATCGTGGCCAATTAATATCAAGTGATGAGTTACACAATCTCAAACAATCAATCGGTCAATTAATTTCCATCAATTCGTTTTTCTCCACCACTGTTGATCGTGAATTAGCTCTTTTTATTTTGGGCGATACAGCTCAAATCTACGATTTAGAGCCACTACTATTCGAGATCGACGCTGATCCTTCTGCCATGACCACAAAGCCGTTTGCGGATATTTCACCATATAGCCAATTCCACGAATCGGAGGTCCTTTTTATGATAGGATCTATTTTTCGTGTGGCAGATGTACACCGTAGTGAGGGTCGACAATGGATCATTCAAATGACATATTGTAACGATGACGATCATGATTTAAAGCAATTATTTGAACATATGAGAAAAGAAAATGGAATGGGTGACACACATATGGGATCATTTGGCGCACTACTCCAGAAAATGGGCAAACTCAATTCAGCCGAAAAGTACTATCGTCATTTGTGGAATGAACTTCCATCAGACCATCCATTCCTTGTGACCTTGTATCTCAATCTCGGTATTGTACTTTACGATAAAGGTGAATATGACAATAGTCTTCAATTATTTCAGAAGTCGTTAGAAATAACAAAAAGACATATGTCATCTGATTATCAAAGCATAGGGGAAACGTATAATTGGATTGGAGAAGCTTTTCGACAGAAAAATGACATACCTCGAGCTGTTGAGTTTTACAATATGGGTATTGCAATATTTCGAGAAGCTAACGATGAACAAAATCTAAAGGCAGCTCCTTTGTTTGGAAACATGGGAACAGTGCTTCAACAACAAATGAAATTGTCCGACTCCCTCACTTTCCGCGAAAAGGCGCTCGCTATTCAACAAAAGCATTTACCGATGTATCATCCAGATCTTGGTATAAGCTGAAGCTTATTTAGTAACTACGATTGCTTATATTATCAAACTAATAAAATAGAGTACAGAAAAGCAGAATGATACGTGATTGGTGAATAACTGACTACAATAATATTGGTACTACATACCAATTTTTCGGTGATTTTGACCGCGCGCTAGAGTATTACAATTTAGTACTAGAAGTTAACCATAAATCGCTCCCACCGCAGCACCTTGATATAGGAAGCGCTTATGCAAATATAGGTCTCCTTCATGCGGAGAAAGGAGACTTTCCACAAGCTCTAGAATACATTCAAAAGGCAGCTGTTATTTTCCGAAAGATACTACCATCTCAACATCCGGATGTTGAAAAAATCGAACAAATTATTCTGGATATCTATGCTGAAATGTAGCTCAATTCAAGTACTCTTTCTTTTGAGTTGTTTGGTAGCAGTATAGAAGCGTACTTTTGAATAAACATGATGCTGCACATGTACGTTCGGTATGCCCATTGGATGTGGATGCAATTGTAGATATTTTTCTTCGCCGTGGATGTCTGCTACTGATAAGATTATCAAATATGCGAGTATAGGTGTGAGGTGTGAGTGTGGGCGGGGTTTAGGTCTGCGGAACAAGACAAGGTGAGTACATATATCTACCCTCATACCAACACCCTTAAGATAAGGTAAGAATAAAGTATGTGGTAGCACAGGAAGATAACTCATCATGTATAAACAATCGATAATGGAAACGATTGCGCCATGCCATAACCTCAACATAATCTGCTCCGTTCCGACCGAGTATCAATGAACGCAGTGGAAATTTATTTCCTATTATATCAATTGAGCTGAAATAGAGAAATCTAATTATGGCAGATTTGTTCAATTGACAAAATGTGAATAAACCATGATAACTTTATTTGAATAGATTTCTTAAATAAAAATGATATTTAACAATGCACATAATCTAGCTCAATATAAAGTTTGTCATACGATCATTGTCTTTTTCTATAATAAAATATCATAAGAAAGAGTCACAAAATAGTATGTAACACTTACACCTATCGACATGTTGATTTATCAATAGCAAACTTTTGTACGCGATGATTTCCATAATCGGCAACATAAAGATTTCCATCAACATCAAATGCTATATCCGTAGGAAAATTGAGTTGATCAGATTGATAACCTTGACTACGACCACCTGCAATGGCAATACCTGCGTTGGCTCCAGGAAGCCATCGTGTCACTCTATGATGTCCATATTCAACGACATACACAGCACCGGATCCATCAACCAACACAGATTGCGGATAGCCTAGTTGAGTTGCACTAAGACCTTGTAAACTACCAATAATAACGGAAATTTGTCCTTTTTTTTCGTCAATTCTGTAGATACGACCATTGTTTTTGTCTGCTGCATAAATTGATTGATTTTGATGCGCAAATAAATAATAGAGTTCAGGTAGATTAGTAGCAATAACATTTCCATTTGTTTCACCTTTACGCAATTTTAACAAATCCTTTGACCAATAAGATGCAGATACATATAGTGATTCTTCACCATCGAGGGCGATACCAATAGGACGTTGTACTATCATAACTGTTTGACCAACTTGTGCATTTCGATTCCATTTTTGAACTCGGTTATTCAAATTATCAGTGACATAGATTGCCCCGTCTTTATCCACGACAAGATCCATTGGACCATAAAATTGTGCCGTACCACTTCCTACTCCATATCCACCGGCAACGATTTGACCAAATGTAGCATTTTGTGTCCATTTAACTACTCGAGCGTTGTTCGTATCCGCAACATAAACAGTACGATTGACATCAACAAATATTCCCATAGGATAATATAGTTGATTAAGTGCATTACCCCAACCGAATCCACCGGCTACACTAATACCTTGTCGACTCCATGTTGCTGTCGTACAAATAGTATTGTTAGGTACTGATGGAGAAGTCGTATCTAAATGTATCAAGCGAATATTTCATCATCATCATCATCATTTTATGATGCCTTCCAATGTAAATATTATATTGTATGCTATATCTTACCTTCGCTTGATGGACAGATTTGTTTATCAATCATTGATATTGGATAACAAACAGGAGCACTGTTACATTGAGGATGGCGAACACATTTGTGATCAGGTTTTTCACAAGTATTGCCAGGGGTTTGACATGGATCGAGACGAGAACAAGCCACCCAAAGAAAACCACAAATACCACTTTTATCAGAAGTTGTCAAAGGAAAACAACCACAATCTTTATTAGTCGAACATTCACTATATTGAGATGCTTCACGACATGTTTCTGAAGATATATATGAACTAAATAGAAAATAAAATACGTATAATAACTACATTATTAAATGAAAAATAGTTTCATGTAGTATGCACTCTATAACAACAATCAAACTTACTTACCTAAAAAGGGCAAACAGAAGAAAGCGGAATGGTGCCGTCATGATATTTTTTATTGGAGAAAGTGCAAAATGACGATAACAGTGCACAATTTATTTGATATATACAGCTGGTATTTTGTATTGTCATTTTCCCATACTCATTACATAGAAACTTGATTCTACTCTATTAATCTTTTATACGACAATATTTTGAAAACGAAAAGAAACCATGACAAGAAAAAAACACAGAGTGTGTATGCATCGAATTATTCAAAAAACGCTGTTACTTAAATCTTGCCGGGTAGTTTCTCGATGACAACTCGATATTTCCTTACTGTAGAACTAAATTAGTATTTTCATTCTACGAATAAATTAAAACTTTCCAACGAATTATTATCAGATAAAAGTCAATTAAATATTGTCTCAGACAAAATGAAATTTAAGCAGAATTCATTCTAATTAGTCGTCATAGTGTTTAACTTTTTAAATAAATTCTAATTCAAACGTGTAATAGAAAAAAAAGTGATTATTTGTTTGAATAAAGTTCCAATAAAAAAAGATGATATTCATTTTCAGTTATTTAATTGTATATTGGCTAGAGAGATGGCTTCTATTTTAAAATGTTAAATTTATTCATGCAGACATTGAACAATGGTAAAATCAAGATTTTCTTTGAGAATGTTTCACATATTTTCTAATAAAGAATACTGACTTGATGTTTACAAAGGCACTTAGTTTGAAAGAGTAAGAGGGTACGACAAATATCTGAATACTCTATCACAGCATCAAATATAAGAAAATTAAATAACCAAGTAAAACATTTTAAGAAGTTCGAGGATTCAATATTTTCTTTGTTTCAGAAGAATTTGATAATAAAATTAAAAAAATGGTTGTACACCAATAATAATGGAAAAGCTCGAAATTTTCATATGAAGAATTTTATCCAGATATTTGACAAGAAATAAAAATAAAATCTGAACGATAATTATTTACAACAAAAATATCAACTTTATTTTATTCCAAGCTCAGTTAAATGAAAGCTAAATGATGGAAATATTATGGACTCGAATTCAGGTTACGTCTTGTTTCGAAAAGAAGATATCTTATATAATTATTGTTTGGGAGGAAAGGAAAAATAGAAAACAAAATTTCTAGAGCAGGACGAACGATGAAAGAGAAATGCCCAAAGTAGATAACCGTTATAATGGAACGGTCACATAAACACAAGACATTAAACCAGTTATTATTATTATTATTTGATTTTGATTTGAAAAATTAATTACGAGAGAAAATATGTCAACATATGATAAAGATTTCTATCTATAAGATAACCGATTTGTTATTTGATATTAAAAAACAATGCATGAACAACTTCCTCAAGAGTTGAAATTAGGACTTCAAGCACTCGACAGTGGTGATTATGCAAAAGCGATTGAATTCGTATCATCTGCCAAATTTGTTTCCGGTGACATCATGGATACCATCGATGAAATGGAAAAAAAGAACTATAAAGTGATTATCAACGAATATATAATCATAAAAGAATACTTTGTGCTCATCTTCTGCAGTGGAGTGAAATGGAAAAAATTATTGATATTGTTTTATATAATTGAAAATTAAAATTAAATAAGATCGATTTTTTTCTTTTATTATCGATATAAATGCAAGTAATGATGACGATAATGGAACAGCAGCTGATCTTAACAGTAATGATGGTTTTTCCTCAGATAATGACTACAATGATGATGATGAACAAGATGATACTCGAAATTTAATAACTACAACAAAACAAGAATTTTCTGGAGTGAAAGTTTTTAATACGGGGCAACCACATATAGAACATTCTTATTTTAAAGCTAAAATCAATGATGACATAAAATATATGCATAAGCAGATTGCTTGTTGGTTATTAACTGGAGAAAAAAGTAAAATGTCAACCGATCGATTACTTCGAGTATACAACAGATTAATGAAAAAAGTTGATTGCTTTTTTCTTTGTATAATATTTTTTCATTTATTTTCAATAAAATGAACATCGCTTTACTGACTTTCAAGTCTTGAAATAAAGAATGTGCTGAATGAGAATAAAAAAGATAATGATTGCGTGTATCCTAATCAAGGCTAATAAAATTTTTATCTAATAGTACACAAGATACAAAAAAGAAGATAGAAGTATCGAATTTTTATAATGGATTTCAGAAAAATAGGAAATCATTTCACGAGACTTCATCTGACTCCACTCTGAAAAAAATAAAGGAGGTCTGCAGAACCCTCCGAAAAGGTTCTGTAGATTTCCAAAATGCTTCAAATGTGTCCAAAGTCTCGAAAAAAAAAGTATAAAAATTTGTACAGAACCTTTTGGAGTTTCTGCGTTTTACCCGATCACAGAACCATCTCTTACCGAACCTTTTTTCGGTTCTGTACAGCAAAAAAGGTTCCGTAAAAAAATATGAAACCTTGAAGGTTCTGTACAAAATGAGTAGGGTTCAGTATGGAACCATTAGGGTTACGTAAAAACAGTTGATAATTTTGTACAGAACCTTCAAGGTTTCGTATTTTTTCACAGAACCTCTTTTTGCTATACTGAACCTAAAAAAGGTTCAGTAAGAGATGGTTCTGCGATTGGGTAAAACGCTGAACCTCCAAAAGGTTCTGTACACATTTGTATCCTTTTTTTGAGACTTTGGGCGCATTCGGAGCATTTTGGAAATCTACAGAACCTTTTCAGAGGGTTCTGCAAACCTCCTTTATTTTTTTCAGAGCACAGCCACAGCAATACTCACAACCTCAAGAGCAGATCAGTTTCGACCAAAGAACTGTTCCAGCAGATCAGCTCCGATCAATGAACTGTTTCAACAGATCAGTTCCGATCAAAGAACTTGTGGGGCAGTTCCGAAGATCGGAACCAATATGGAACTGTCGTAGCTCTAGTAGAAGACCCCGATGTCTTCGATTATGTCTAAGCGTAAAAGTTTTCCAGGATGATCTTGTGTTAGGTCCTATATTTTTCACAAAACTTAACTTAAGTTCTTTTTCAGCCAATGAAGTGGCTCTTAGGATTTTGCGACCCCAGCTGTAATCTACAGCACAATATTTTCAGATTTTCGCTGAAACATGATCCTGAAAACTGGGTAAATTTTGATGTAAATGCACTGCACTCTAAATAAAAATCGTTTTCTTGGAAACCCACAAAAAAAGGTTTCCAGCTTTTTTATACCCAAAAGGGTATCCGGACTGATCTTGGAAACCTTTTATTGTGGGTTTCCAAGAAAACGATTTTTATTTAGATTGTGATTCAAGTTCCAGATTACGCAATGATTCATTAACTAAAGCGCCTCCTCTGTTTTAGGGGAGTGAGGCGTCAAAGTGTGCGCCAAGGTTGAGACTTCAGTTTCTATTTACTAGTATATATATAAACAAACTATTTACTATTTGCTTTAGTAAGAGTAAATATAGTTATGGATAAATAACATTCATTAATAATCATATTCACTTTGACAAAAGTAACTAGCTATTACTTATTTTACTTTCGCTAAATTAACTAGTAAATATGTTATTTGAATCGCGTTATTTACTTTTTGAAAGAGTAAAGCAAATGTACCACTCCTGATGTGCAATGGTCAACTGGGAACAACAGGTTTCTTGTCAGAAATCATCAGAAGTGATTGGAAATCACTAGCAATCGCCATAAAAGTGTTTAAAATGCGAATAACGACTGAAAACTAACTTTAGCCCACGGAGGGTCACAAGAAGTCATTAGAACCTATCGAAAATTACAAGGAAGCATTTCATATCACAGAAGTTCTTCTGATATACATTTAAAAGTAAACACATGATCTCTATTGACTGCTGATTACTTTCAGTAATTCTCTTTTCCCCATAATGCTCCATACACTGACTAACTACTCTTAAACTCTATCGATTTCTCATAGTTTTTCTTGATTTCTGAACATTTTCTATGATTCCTGACAATGTGTTATGCACACTTAACAATGGATTTTCAGGAATAGGAATCACTGAAAATCACGAGAGGTCAATTCATTTGTTTTTTCCCTTGACATGTGCCGAGATTCTATGATTAGTTGGGTAATATCCTGTAATTGTGTCGAAAATGCACACAAAACGTTCCCAACCTTTTAATCATAAATAATCGATGTTGTGCAATTATTGATTGCAAAATTTTTTCAATCTGAATCTTCTGTCATGATATTTTATATTGGCAATTGCTATCCAAGAATGTCTCAGCGGTATCCGATGTTACAAATTTGATTGCCCGTTCAAACATCCAGAGGGATGGAGTGCTTGTGATGATGGACGTGAATGTGACAAATATGAATGTATTTCCAATCATCCACGTGGTCGTAAACAAAAATGTCGTGATGGGAATGAGTGCGGAAAGCCAAAATGCGACAAGTTTCTTCATCCGACTCCATGTAACAAAAATTATTACTAGAATTAAGTGACAGCAAATATAATTTTCTTGAATGTTTAGATGGAAAACTTCCGCGTACTACAGGTAAAGAAAAAAATTTTATGAAAGTAATAAATTGCAAGTATATGATAAACTTTTTTCACTGAAAAGAGTCTCAAAAACAGCAGCAATCTTTTTGATGATTATTTTTAAAATTTCATTATTTCAAAATAACTGTCGTTTTAGACTGAAAACTCGATTAGAACCAATTGAAATCTGTAAATCAATTGAAACAATATCTATAGAAGGTGTACCATTTTTGTCAGGTTTTCTTTTCATGGCACCTTAGCAATTTTTCATGAATTGGAAACCAGAAAAATAATAAAACAATTAAGACTCACGTCAGCGTGCGAATATTGAGCGAGACGTTAACTTTGCAGGTATAACAGATAAATTGATTGAGAGCATATAGCAGAGTATAATCGATTATGGAATAAGAATACATTAGTGTCGATTGGCAAGTACTGATAAATTCAAACAAACTCAAAGGTAGTTATAGATTGAAGACAATAACTTAAAAAAATATACTAGAGTGGGTCAAGTAAAGGAATAATAATAGATTGGCAGAATTTAGCAAATTACAATAGATTGGATTATTGGATTCTATTGACTGGTAGATCTTTCAATGACATTAGAGGGATTGCTATTCTTCAAAATTGCAAAACCTTATAAACTTAACAACAGTTATTTATTTACTTTTTCTGCATCTTTTCGATCAGTTCCTATAGTATCCGTTCTTCAGAATCATTGACCTGGGAATCCATTTTGAATAAATCATGATTATAGATTTCAAATTTAAATCGATTGAAATTCGATTATTAATTTCCATTATGTCAATAGAAATTTTAAGTTTTTGCCCATTTCAATCGGAGAAATTTCTGGCCTTATAGTTTCCTTGATTGACTCTACCATGGTTAAAAGCAGAACGTCGAAGAGTAAAAATATCGAAGATAAAAATATCGAATAAAAGAAACACTGAAAATGGCAGTGAATGAAAGTGGAAGTCCCCTCACACTGACACGGGGTAATATCTTACCGCCAATTCATCGTTTTGCCAATTGTAGTTTTCGCCAATGGGTGAACCAAGGAATACGAAAATATATTATTTATTGTCGAATGTCACACTAGTAATTCGCCAATTGACGAATTTCATGAGGAAGTTCGCCAACAACAAATATACAATTGGCGAAACTGCATAGACTCCACGGACACGGACTATAGGATTCTCATTGCGATGCTTGGCTTTTATCTCCGACGTTTTTACTTTCGATATTTTTACCTTCCGATATTGTTCCTTTCCCACTAAAGTAGGATTCATACCTTTGATGGAAATTCATTTTCGAATTTGACTTTGAAAGTTTGCATAAGTTTCGGACATGATGATATCAGTTTTGTTGGAATCGACTGGTTACAACGTGGAGTTAAAGATGTCGAGTATGTTGATGAGGAGGACCCACTCTTATAATGAATCCCTAATCTATGCACAACAAAAGGATATCAAACTTTAAGCATAAGTTACTCATAGTAAAACAGTCTCTCTGAAAGCATTACATCATAATTTGACTATCCATATTTCAGAAAGAACTCGACATTATTCATCAATATAATACTGTAAAAATCTATCTCTGTAGCGTTGAGAGCAACTCATGAACTCTTTTTAGTATATTCATAGCTCACTAGAATATATATATATATATATATGATATGTCGAGATTTATCTAAAAAAAACGATTGGCAAGAACACCCAGTCACTTTCTGAGATTTCAGAATTACTTCTTTGAGATGAATCGGATAATGTACTCAAAAGAAAAGGATAATAAACAGTTACTATCAATCAAAAATACCAAACAGAAACTCAAATGAAACGAGTTATATTTATGTTCTACATCACTTTCAATCATTTCCGTTTGTCACAGGTTTTTCGAACTATTTTTATTTGAATACTAACAGATTTACTTCAACATATATTCTACGATGCTGCTTATTTTGTACTGAGAACTCCTGATGAAAAAAATGTAGAATTGGCTAAAATCAATGTATGCTTTATGTTTATTATGTAGTTAAAATTATTTAAATATTTAAAGGGTGTATGGGCAACATCGGAAGTCACTAAACACAAATTAAATCGAGCTTTCAAAGTCAATAATCCTTTCAAGAAAACAATAATGAAATATTTATCTTTATTTTATCTAGGATCACCGAAATGTAATTTTATATATTTCTGTTCGTAAAAGTGGACGATTTCAAGGAATCGCTCGTCTGTCTTCTCAATCTCAAAATCCCAATGAAGTCATTCCTTGGATTTTGCAAGATGGCAAAAAAGATGTTTCAGATGTTTTTAATATCGATTGGGTCACACGGTATGTAATAATTGTGCTCTCAATGATAAAAATCTTTTCATTCATGGTGCATTAAATTTAAATAATTATTTTCTTTCGTAGTCAAACATTACCATTTTTTAAAGCGGAGCATTTATTGAATTTATTCCATGATGGTCAGGTCAGCGCATTACATCAACTAACATTTGTTTTCAAATATCTATGAATGTTTTTATTTGAAGGAAGTTGAACCTGATTGTGCCAAAGCTCTATGTCGTTTATTTTCATCGGATCCAAATATTGATATGATCCCAATAGTAACAAAAGCGATAAGCCACGGTAAGCTTCGTATTCGATGAAAACTAATAGAACAAGCAATGTCACTGGTGTTCTCTGAGAGAACGATGAACAATATGTCTTTCGTAGAAGTAGAATTTAACCGTCTCTTCTTTCAAGCAGCTCTCTTAATCAGTCTGAATGAAAGGACTATCTAAATATTCGTTCGGTCTCATTGTGTACGGCAATTGAGAATAACACCATCCAGTTGTGCAGAATTCTCTTTATTTTATGCGAGTTACCATCGACACCGAATAAGGCGAGCGAGCACATATGGGAACATATCTGTTTCCATACCGTTGTAGAACTTCTCCAGTGATTTTGAAGTTCTTCAATTATGAAAAAATTAAATTATAAGGTGCCTGAAATTGAAAATTTCAGCAGATTTTTTTCCGAATGAGTTATGTATGTTTCGATAGAGCTCGTCAAACTGTCTAAGAAAATACATTAAAAAGAAGACAAAATACTTAATTTCTAGTTATACGAATATTCCGTCCCTCAACAAATTGTGTTTAATTTTTCGTTTTATTCCTTCTATAGATTTTATGACCATAATTTTCGAAATCAGCATGAAAATTGAGTATCCAGCACTAATTTTTAACTCATTCAAATATAATGTTTTTCATTTTTCTCCTGTATTTCAAACGACAATGCTTAGAGGTCGCCGCTAGTATACCGTATTTATGTATCTAATTTTTTTCCACAAGATAAAATGGCAAGTCCTATATTCCATTCGAAGCAGCTTTGAAAGAGCTACAAACGTAGGCATTAACGTTATTTTATACTTTACTTAAGCTGAGAAAAAAAAACTTTTTTTTGTATTACTCATTATAGAGAGAATTTATTTTTTCTTTTACATTAAATTATTCGTTTAAATCTCGCCCATAAACGCACATATCGTTGTTTTTTTTTGTTCTTTTAATGCAATCTACAATTTATCTGCCTTATCTTAACCTTCTGGAAACCTTTTCATTTTGATAAATTTCATTCGTAAGTTGCGATTTCAGGATTCATTTGTAAAGAACCTATAATAATTGGGAGTGATTGCATCTATAGTTGAGTAGCGTACTTAGAGGTGTTGCTCTGTGTTCATGAAACGTTTTT